ATATGCCCGTGCTCTGAAGCAACGCTGAGATGCGATGAACTAGATGCCCGTTTCCTGAAACAGCAGCGGCAGCCTGCGCTTCCATCAGCTGGGCCTGCGCTTGTTCCAAAGTCTCGACGAAAGTGGAACTGTCCTTGGACGCCTTTCGCTCGGCGGAGGCAGCATGGCTCTGGGCCTTCCGAGGCGAGTGACCCATCGCCAACGTCTTTTCCGCATGGTTCTTGTCAGGCGCCGCGTGGATCGAGGGGTAGGAGATTGTTGACTCCTTCACCACCGAGAAGACCGAGTCGCCCTCCATCTGTTTGGTGCCTTGTTCGATGAGGCAGATCGCTTCGCCAATCTGCACTCTCAGAGACTCCCGTAAGCTGCTGGACATTTGCTTTGCCTCTTCGAGGAGTGCTGCAGCGTCAACCCAGTCCCCCTTGCTAAGGTGAACGAGCGCCTTGTACATCAGCATGGAGGCCTTCAGGTCGGACGCTTTGTCGTTCGAGGCCACTACCACGGCCTTGGACGGCGCAGCAGCTTTGGTCTTCGGAGCCGCCACCCTTCTTGTCGTTCTCGTCGTTCTCGTCGTTGCAGGGGCCGCTGCCTTGGTTGCTCTGGTTCGTTTGGTTGCCGGGGCCTTGAGCGTGAGCTTTGCCATCTTAGTAACAACCTGCCCATTACTGACCCCGGTGATGGTACCGCGGCTGCTGTTGTTCAGTTTGCCAAGCGTAACCTCGGCAAGCTCGAGAAGCAGGTGCTCGTTTTCATGATCTTTCATCTCTCCGAACGAAGCGCTGAGCTCGCAGGCGAGCTGGAAAGCTTGGCGTGTGGGTTTGACGGCTGTGGCCATGAGCTGTCTCGCCTCGTTCAGGTAACCAATGCTCTTGTCGAGTTTGCAGGCCTTGATCCACACGGAGCCAATCCAGCTTGCTGCTTGGGCCCTATGAATCGAGGCGTCCGTCGCGTTGGCGATTTGATGTGCCTTTTCTGCATAATACACCGTCTCCTGGAACATGCCTAAATGGGCATACACAGAAGACAGATGCAAAACGGACCTCAGCAGAGCGCACGCCAGTGACCAGTTGTCGGGGCCGTCGGACAGCTCAATCAGATTTGTGGAGGCTTCCGTCCCGATGACGATTTCCTCGGCGTCGGACGAGTCTTGCCTGGGGGACTGCTTGGGCTCTGCTTTTGGCGCCATTTGCCACCGAGCTTCCAGTTTGGTCCAGTCCTGGTACAGCATGCGGACACTCGTTTTTGCGTGGAACAGCGCATGCTGGTATTCGCCCTTGTCCCACTTTATGCGAGAAGACAGGCAAGCAGCCCTTGCCAGGAGGAGCTTCCTCTGGAGCCTGGACGCTTTTCGGATAGAAGACGAGGCCTTCTCGAACGCAACCTCACCCTGCAGAAGCATTTTGTGACTGTTTCGTGTTAGATGTTGCTCTTCATTTCGGGTTGGGACAACTTACGCAGCATCCGAGTTCTGGGCCGCCAGTTGGTACTCCGTAAAAGATATTTGGAGGTTGACTGCTGCAAGATCGGGGCTGCTGCTCGTGGATTCGGCAAACTCCTTGGCCTTATTGAGAATCTCTTCGGCCTTCTCGGAGTAGCCCAGGTGGGTATACTGGTCTGCCAGATTGCTGTGCGCCTGGACGAGCAAGTCCGTCGACAAGTCTGAGAGCTTAAACGAGAAGTCGGCGGCTAGTGTTAGAACTGAGAGCAAAAACTCGTCTTCGCCCCTAAGCTTGGCGTACTCGGCGACCGCATTGAGTTGTCTGAGGAGCCCTTCCGTGTCATTGACCTTGGTCAGCAGCTCATCCTTGGTTTGGCATTCGTTGACGAGGGCGCGCCAGACGCTGATTGACTTCTCAAAGTCTGCCGCCCGCCATCCAGTTTCTGATGCGACCAGAGCCAAAGTACAAGAGAGACCGGCTTCCAGATCGGGGACGTACGAGGCCAGGCCGCCGTCCTCCCCGAAGCTCTGGCCACGGCATAATAGCAAAGCTGCTTCGGTCTGTTCGCGAAGGTTCTGGAACTCCTCCCGTTTGCCGATGGACATGGTCAGTAGTTGAGACAGAGTCCGAAGGCGACGAATCGGGAAGCGATCGGGCGTGTAGATCCGTAGGAGAGCTTCCTCCACGGGCTCCTTGATGTCGCCGGGGCTCGAGTCGCTCGAAGAGTTGGAAAGGATGAGCTGGATGATACGCTCCAGGACTGCCGCTCGCTCAACATCTGCGAGAAAGAATGTCCAGTCATTCCAGGACTGGTCGAGCTTGATCATGGCTGCCAAGGCCCGCGACAACGTCTCCGCCTTGACACTCGTGCTCCAGGCCACGGCCGGTGACTTCTCCGACAACGAGGCTGCCACTGCGGCCAGGACGCCCTCCTCTACCATGTTCGTGCAGATGAGCTTGAGGGCATCTCGGGCGTCATTGATTCTACCAGCCCGCTCACAAAGGTCTGCGAAGTACTCAAGTTTCGCTGTTGTCTGCGCCTTCTCCTTTTCTTCCGGGGACCTGTCCTTGACACAATCAACAGACCGTCTCAGAGCCCGAAGGAGGGTCTTGTCGCCGGGTTTGCTCTCGGCATTGCGGCGATACCAGTGAAAGAACATGAAGTAGAGGTGAGATAGCCTGACGTAGTGGGAGCTTGCAGCGTCTGATTTGGAGCCGGCGGCACTGATGTCCCCCACATACTCGAGCAACAAGAGGCACTCCTGGAGAAGGGTATCGAGGGTTCCCCAAGCCATTTTGTTGCTATCGATGTGTGATTTGGCGACCATGAGGGCCGATTCCAGGATCTGGGAAACGGATGTGAGTAAAAGTTGTCTCCTCGACTCGTGGCGCACATGTTCTTTAGGAGAGGCGTCCTTCGTCGGCGCTTTCCCCAGCCACCTTACGGCAAACCGAGGGAATTGAAGGACGAGGTTGTTCATCAGTTCGTGGACGTCTTCTGACCCGTCCCCAGTCTTGCTGGCCAAGATACCTACCACAGACCTACGGGCAGCAGACAGATTGACCATGAGTTCCTCCAACTCCGTCACATCGCCCTTGAGCGTTCCCTGGAGAGCATCGGTCACCTCCCTCAAAAGCGCGGACAGCTGTTCGTGAGGCAATGGTGTTTGTTTCGCGTGGACGGCCACAAGCTGCGCAGCTACTGCGCAACACCTGGATGCCGAGTCACTCTCAGGGTCGAGAGTTCCCTTGATCTTGGAGATCCAGTCGGCCGATTCCTTGTATAATCGAGCTGCCTGAGCTGCCGTTCCCAGAGCCTGATAGATCACGGCGAGTGGTGATTTTGATGACAGGGTGGCCTCCAAACGCTGGGACTTAGTCATCACGGTGATGCGGTCAAAGACGGCGGAAGATTTTTGATACGCCCCAATTGGGTCGGATTTGGCTCTGCGGATAAACGAAGTGATGCATCGTGAAAGTGGCGAAATGATGTCCTTGTCGACATCTGCCTTGTGACTGGCCATCTGCCACCAGTGCAAACGCGCCTCCAGTCCCAGCGCTTGCAGTTCCAGTGCGGTGGAGGGAGCGCAGCTCAAGCGAGAGTCCATGGCCACCTCGTCGTCTTTGATCGATAGACTAGGAGCCAGTGATAGGAGTAGCTGCGAGAGCAGATCGAGCTGCCGCGCAACCTTTGTCTTGGCTTGTGCTGACTCTCTGGCAGCTTCCAGGAGGAGGTTTGCGGGGGATGTAGGGCAAGACGCAACGAGACTTGGCAACGCCCTTTCGATGACAGCTGCCTTTTTTGTTGCAGACATGAGACGCAGGATCTGGGTCTGGGTCGTGATGACAAGACTGAGCGTCGATCCTGAGAACTTGGCATCGCCAAAGTCCAAAAGCTCTGCCAGTCCTTTTACCTTGGTATCTGCTACTGTCGGCTTTCCTCCTTTCGGTTTGACCTTCGTCGAAGTGCCCATTGCCTCGAGTCTTCGCTTGAGAACGGTCAATTCGCGCAATGCGTGCTCCTGAAGACCAAGCCCTACGAGCTTGCCGATGAGAGAAGACATTCCGCTCTCGAGCTGCAGGTCCGGAAGCGTCACCGCGCCAGAGGTCTGTAAGGATCGCAAGCATGTGAATGCGGTTCGCAAACATTCAACCGTAGCGAGACACGCGATGGCAGGCGCCGTCGGCGTTGTTGTTGTTGTCTTTGAGGGCTTGGGCGTGGTAATGGGGGATGTTGAGGTTCGGTTCAGCGAACGTGGCTGCATGGGGCTCATCGGCATGGAACTCGATCGTCTCAGGGTCCGCTTGCTAGGAGGTTTCTGCAGGTCATCGCCCGAGTTTTCTTTTCGACAGGGTGTCGTGGGTCGTACGGCGGGTGCAGGCTTTGACGCCTCCGTCAGCGACTTGAGGGCAACATTGATGATGTACGCGGCCAGTGTAGCCTTTTCCTTTGGCGTCAGTTGTTCATTTTTGCTCGCAGTCGTGCCCGGTCTGGCTGATCCAGCTGTCTTTCCTCGCGTTGTCGTCGTGGCCTTCGTCGTTCTTGCTGTCGACTTTTGAGATGTCGTGGGATTTTCGGTCTCCGTCGCGAGAAGTTCTTTGAGGAGAACCGAGGTTGCTGGTGTGCATGTGGCGGTCGATGCTGCCGCCGCCTTGGCGACGTCTACCTTGCTTTGTAAGGAAGTCATGGAGTCGTGCGTATCGAGGTCATAAGCGTATCGTCATCTGTTCTTCATTCCAGACAGTTCGACGAGAAAATGGCCAGTTGATGGCAATACTGCTGTAGTTTGTGAGTAGTTTGACATGACTCCATCCAGATCGCTAAGGCGTGCGCGGTTGGCAGTTGTCAGGTCTCGCTAAACATTGCCCCGGGGCGTTGCTGGGGGCAACCGAGCCCCCGATTCGGTCCGTGCAGGGGCAGACAGGAACCATAGATGCACGGACCATCCAGACTGGAAGGAACCGCGATGGGATCCGGCACTTTTTTGGCCAGTTGCTCTTCAGTGGGAAGGCGACGTTGAATCACAATTCTTCCTTATTATGACTATCGGAGCATCCACCATGTCACGAGTTTCCACCAAACGGCTGTTCGCAGCATCGCCGTGCCTGCGAGCTGTGACAATTGCGCAAGCCGCCCATCGTCCCCTCTACCTCCCCGCGCGACACTCGAGCTCCCTTCCCACGGTCGCACAACTGGACTTCTGGAAGTCCCTTATCCCCAAGCCGTTCCGATCAGAGGAGAAGCTTCGCGACGATCCCATGATCAAGCGCGTCAAATCGAAGAGGAAGAAGGAGTGGAACCCGGCGACCTTCTACATCGTCATCTTCCTGCTGATCGGATCCATGTCCATCAACATGCTATCGACGAAGCAGACGTTTGAGGCCTTTTCGCGCCAAGCGGACGTGCGCATTAGCGTCCTCAAGGAGGTTGTCGAGAAACTTCAAAGGGGTGAGACAGTTGATGTAGAAAAGGCACTGGGCACTGGCGACCCGCAGAAGGAGCTGGAGTGGGAAGAGAGTAGGTCACTAGCACGAGAGCACCACGTTCGGCCATGCTAACGAGTCGTTCCCAGTGCTGAAAGAGATCGAGCGCGAGGACATGTTCCGTCAAAAGAAGCAGGAAAAGGCACGGCAGGCGGAGGCCGCAGCAAAGAGCAAGGCCGAAGCAATCACGGAGCGGCAACCAACAGTGGCACCCGAGGCTGTCAAAGCGCCAGCACGGGGCATGTCGAGCTTTTTCTAGATTACAAACGGAAAAGCTATGAATTGGTACATGTTTAGGGCTATGACAACATATCTTTGAAAACGCCGTGGTTCTCCCCAAGAGCTGTCCTGTTCAGGCCCGACGCCCTTCCCGGTAACTGTTGAAGCCGCTCGACCAGCGCCGGGAGCACGATGTCTGTAGACACTTCTGTCCGAAGTCCCAGAGCGCCTGTTGGATCCGGGTCCAACACGGCAGAAATCTGATCCTCGCCTCGCACGCCTCCCGTATTGACGATCGCGATGGGCATACCGCGATCCAGCGCCCTCTTTGCCAGTCGCCATGCCGAGTACGTGGCAAGCGAAGTTCCGAGGATGAGGAGCCTGCCAGCCCCGTCGATGGCCTCCTCGGCCGCCGTCTTCACTTGGCCGGCGATACTTTCGCCGAACATGACCACGGCAGGTTTCAATATTCCTCCCGAGCTGGTGGGCTTCCACGCCCCGTCGTGGTCGACCTCGATGACATGTCTGGAGCCTTCAAGCGTGGAGGGCGGCTTCGCGAGGCAATGCGGGCAGGCTGGGTATCTAAAGGTGGTGTAAGGCGCGCCCGGCAAGTCCACGTCTCCATCAGGGTTCGTTCTGATGCCCTTGGCCTTGCGCTCGGCAGGGTTCTCCGTGTCGAGAGCACCAGAAGCTAAAGCCTCTACAAGGAAGGCAGCCCAAGCGGGATTGAGCCGTGCGAGCTCCTCTTGGAAGATGTCTCTGGGGTACTCGTTCCTACAAGTCACGCAAACTGTGGACCTTAGGTAGCCGTGAAGCTCCAGAGTAGGAATGTCTGGATGAGCTCTCGAATGAAAAGAGTCGACGTTTTGCGTAACGACGCTCCGAACCAAGCCCAGTTGCCCTAGGTCTCGGACGGCATAGTGGCCTTGGTTTGGCGACGCCTTGTGAAGTGACGTCCAACCCAGGAAACTCCTTGCCCAATACCGTTTTCTGGCTTCGTGGTTGGCAAGAAACTCGTGGTAGTAGATCGGGCGGTACGTCTTGTTCACACGATATGTGCCATTGACGCCCCGGTAGTCGGCGAGCCCACTAGAGACAGAGAGGCCCGCGCCAGTCAATACGACGGTCGACCTAGGCAAGCCTTTAGGGGGCGGAGCCGTGAAGAAGTTCTCGAGGGCCGCGACAGCACCCGGGATTGTGTTTGCGTTGCTTGGGCGGACTGTAGGGGGGGCTAAGAGTTCCGTGTAAGGAATACGCATAAGAGGTTTGCGCATTGGGGAGGTGTCGCGTAGCGTAAGGCTGCCGTGATGTGGGAGGTGATGCCGGAGCTGTCGAATCAGGGCGAGAAAGCGCCAGGGGAAAGTCCGTCTTCGGTAGAGGTTAAGAGGAAACTGGCAGTATTATGTGGACATGCAAACCCCAGCACGAGTCCAAGAATAGAAGTGTGCAAGGGACGGGAAGAGAATTCTAGGTAGTTTAGAAGAGCGCGTGTATGCGGAAAACGTTGTGACAGGCCCATCTTGTAAGCTGAAGGGGGCGATCTCATATCAGTGGTCAATTCGTCATGATTCGGCGACGAGCCTCGCCAGCATCTCCACAGGATGACCAAGCCCCATGTGGCTTGAGGCAGTGTTTAGGCCGATTAGATAATAATTTGCTTACTAAGTCGAGAGTTCCCACGTACCTCAGACATGCACAACAACCCTGCGACAAATTGGGCAGATTGCTCCATCAGATGCTACGCCGTAGTCAGCAACCACACCCAAAGGATTCGTAGTTTTTCTGGGGAACACCAAGGGGTGTACTCACGCCGCCAGTTCACCAATGAAGGGCCAGCCTCTACCGCACTGCAGGGCCTGCAGGACGAAGTAGCATCGTGGAGGGCGGCGTTCCGCTGGTCTGTTTTGGATCGTGTCGGCGGTGGTTGTACCAGTATATTGCTGCGTAGTGTTTGCGCTTGTTCTTTGTCGCAAGGTCAGCTGGACATGCGGAGAAACGTGTCCATAGGACGGATGGACCCTTGAGCTGATGGATATCCTCGTTTTGTCACGACTCAATTTGTATCAAAAGAGCCACGTGCCAGCGTTTCCGGCCGGGTCCCCATGGTCTTGGAGACTGAGGTGTGCCGTTGCTCAAGTCAGGGACAACAAGCGCTGTGCTGCTATGGAGGCGCCAAAAGCACCTGCATTGCGCAGAGAAGAAAGATATCAGGTACCTCAAGCTTCTTCCCGATCCGCAATCCCGACGGCGCTGGGGCGCAAGATGAACCACTAGTACTCTGTACTACGACCATGTATGGATTTGATCTGAAGGAAATTTGATCTGGTGGCTCACGCTGGATTGACTCGAGTTTGATGTGGGTTCGGCGAAAACAAAGAGCGGACCTATCCAGGGATCCGAATGTTTGGTATTGGCAAGAAAGTTCCATCAATTCATCAATCCATCCAATCTCATCCCAATTGCCTTGCCTAGGTACCTGTGCAACCTACCACCTACAGCACAGTACCTACAGCAAGAGCAGCTTGGTGCTTGGATTATGTAGTGGGCTGGCAAGCAGGTAAGGCTGCCCGGGCGCCGGCGCAGCCGGAACCATCGTCCCTGCCTTGACCTTTCGAGGATTGCCGCCGCACCGAACCTGCTGAATCTGTCGCCGTACCTGACTGAACCTTCCCTCCCTCCCACCCTTCACCCCTTCCATACCTGCACTACTCCCCTCGTTTGTCTATCTAACGTTACCTAAGACCGAGACACACTCCGTCTCCCTCTGTAATTGTCTGACGAACCGTTTCCCGGCCCTTGTTTTTTGCTCGGTCGCTTCCTCGGTCGCTTGCTTGTCATGTACGCGTGCCCCTGGCCTGCTCGCAATTAGCCAAACCCGTTGTTCCTGCCCCCCCCCTCCTCCCCTTCAGTCCACGCAACGCCTGTCGGGTCAATTTACCTTAGCCTTGCATCTCGGCAACATCTAAGAGAGACAGTCTTCTGGGCATGTCTCCCCCATCCAAGCGTCCTGCGGGACTGCTCTGCCGCCTTTCCTATGTGAGCTGTGTGACGTCTGCACGAACAGCCGCAGCCGCACCTGGAGGATCCGGCACGGGAACACACACCCTACTCCGTTGCCTCCATTTTGCATACCCCTTTAGGCCACCTCAATCACATCTGCGCCGCGTCGCCCTCCGCGTCTATCAAACATCTAGCCCGGCCGCCTCTCCCTGCGATCCCTACATAACCCTCAGCGCCGCCCGCCATTCCGTCCGCCTACGCTCCACCACTCCCTCCTTCCCCCATCTCACACACACCCTGACGGCTGCGAGGAACACTTCCCCTTCAATACCAGCCGCAGTCATCATGTCTTCCACCTCAACTGCCACCATGACTGCCAACCCCGTCCAGTCCCGTCGGAGCCATGGCGGTCACTCGCACCACCACCACCACGGCCACGACAATGTCTACTTGACCTCGGCCAACAAGAACGATGCCGGCGTGCGCATCACCCGCATCGGCCTCTTCTCCAACCTGGGGATGGCCTTTGCCAAGGGCGCTGGCGGCTACGCCTTCGGCTCCCAGGCCATGATTGCCGACGCCTGGCACAGTCTGACTGACCTGGCCTCCGACATCTTGACGCTGGCCACTGTTTCGTGGAGCCTGAAGCCCCCGACCGACGCCTTCCCCACCGGTTTCGGCAAAATCGAAAGTCTCGGGTCTCTGGGCGTGTCCAGCATGCTTCTGGGCGGCGGCCTGTTCATGTGCTGGAGCAGCTTGATCACCCTCCACGCACACCTCTTCCTCGACCCTGCAGCCGCTGCAGAGGCAATCGCCCACGCTCACCACGGTCACAGCCATAGCCATGCCCATACTGGCCCGAGTTTGCACGCCGCCTGGTTGGCACTGGGTACGGTCGCAATCAAGGAATGGCTGTACCAAGCTAGTAAGCACTATTCCCCAACCCTCCCCAGGTCCGAGTCGAGCCAAAGAAGGTGAAGAGCTAATAAGGAAGTGGAACAGCCATGAAAGTCGCCCGCGAACGAAAGTCCTCCGTTCTTGCCTCCAACGCCGTCCATCACCGTGTCGACAGCTGGACTGGTATCGTCACCTTACTCGCCATCCTGGGTGCAAACTTTTTCAAGGACGCAACCTGGTTGGATCCTGTCGGTGGACTCATGATTTCCCTTCTTGTCATCAAGGCCGGAGCCGAAAACACACTCTCTGCCGTATACGAATTGGCCGACCGTGCCATTGACGAGGAAGTCAAAGACGACATCCGGAAGTACACCCTGAGGAGCCTCTCTGATATTACTGACGGCCACGAGGTCGATGTTCGTAACGTCTCCGGCGTCAAGTCGGGCCAGAACTACCTGGTGGACATCGATCTGGCTGTGCCCGGAGCTTGGTCTGTCGAGACCGTCCGTGATGTGGAGGACCAGGTCCGCACGTTGGTAGGCACCAAGGTCCGAGGTGTGCGGAGGATCAAGGTGCGGTTCGTGCCGAAGGAGGCCGAGGTTGCGCGCAAGTTTGATGAGTTTATCCCGGGAGAAGCCAATCGGGATGTTCGCGAGGAAGCCGAGGGCCACGCCCACGCCAACGGCAATGGCCACAAGCATGAATAAGCCCGCCAAACTCCTTGTGCGTTCAGAAGAAGAGCTTGCCGTTCACGATGAGATACCCTAGGTTCCCTAACCATTTCTGGAAGCGTGGATACGCCGCCGTCTGTTTTTTTTATCTAGGTGTTTTTTTTTTGTCCCTTCTTCATTAGTTGACAGGGATTACCATGTATAGAGAGCATCTGCGGATAGCACACTCGAGGCATCCATTTGCATCGGGACGGCGTTGAAGGGGTTTTTGCAACAGGCCAGCGACAGGCCCGCCATTTAGGACAGTTTCTGTTTCGCGGCTACTCAATCATACAATACTGACTTTGCTCTTGTCTCACTCGCCGGTGTGCATGCCACTGTGTCTCGTTGAACCGCCCATGCCCTGTCCAATCCCGCAACCCTTACGGATACCTCAAATACATATGCAGGGTCACAGCCTACGCTAGTGTAGATGCACAGAGTATGCGGGACGAGCTGTCCCAAGTCCCGAGTCCAGGGACAAGGCTGTTCTGGCTCCGGCCAAGCTGTCCCGGCATCATTGGCGCGCGTATCCGTTACATCGACCTGTGGAACCGACGATTGGCCTGCCCGCATTTAGCCTGAATTACCGCAAGGCTGAGGTCATGCACCCCGTCCGAACTGCCCCTCCATGCCCACACCCCCCACGTCAAGGTGATGTACACGTAGAAGCAGTGTTGGCAACGGCTAACTTTTACAAGTAGTCGGTTGATCTGCGTCCCTTTCTCTCCTTCACACATGCCTGTCTGTCTATCATCTTAGCCACACAATTTTGGAGATTGACGGATCCTGAATAACCCCCAGTGTTGAGTGCCTCGTCTTCCCATCATGAGTTCCGGTCCGTTGTATCTCGGGTTCGACCTTTCGACCCAACAGCTCAAAGGTCAGTCCACGGAATCATCGACCCCTCATCTCGGTTCTCGGCTCTAATGCATTCACAGCCATTGTCGTGCAATCCGACCTAACGGTCGTCTCCGAGGCCAAGGTCGATTTTGATGCCGACTTCGGCAAGCAGTATGGCCTGCGCAAGGGTGTCCTGACCAACGAGGCCGAGGGCGAGGTCTACGCCCCGGTCGCCATGTTCCTCGAGGCCATCGACCTCGTTCTGGAACGCCTCAAGGCCAAGACGCCGCTGGACCGCGTCAAGGGCATCAGCGGCTCGTGCCAACAGCACGGCAGCACCTACTGGGGCAAGGACGCCGAGGCGCTGCTGGGCGGGCTGCGGGCGGACAAACCGCTTGTCGAGCAGCTCAAGCAAGCCTTCTCGCACCCCTACGCGCCCAACTGGCAAGACCACAGCACGCAGGCGCAGTGCGACGAGTTCGATGCCAACTTCGAGACAGCGCAGCGCCTAGCCGAGATCACCGGCAGCGCCGCTCACCACGTATGTGTTCCCCCTCGTGTTGCCGCCCGAGAGCCTCCCCGCCCGTGTGTGCCCCTGACTAATACGCAAGGATAGCGCTTCACCGGCACGCAGATCATGCGCCTCCGCCAGAAGCTTCCCGAAATGTACGCCGCCACGTCCCGCATCTCTCTTGTCTCCTCCTTCCTCGCTTCTGTGCTCCTCGGCACCGTAGCGCCCATCGACATCAGCGACGTCTGTGGCATGAACCTCTGGGACATCCCCGCCGGCGCCTGGAGCGAGCCGCTCCTTGAGCTCACCGCTGGCGACAAGTCCAAGGCGGCTGACCTGCGCGTCAAACTGGGCGAGCCACGGCACGATGGCGGCGGCTCGATGGGTCCCATCTCCCGGTACTTTGTCGAGCGCTACGGCTTCAGCAAGGACTGCCAGATCGCCCCCTTCACTGGCGACAACCCGGCCACTATCCTCGCGCTGCCGCTGCGGCCCATGGACGCCATTGTCTCGCTCGGCACTTCGTCGACCTTCCTCATGGTCACCCCCGTCTACAAACCCGACGCTGCCTACCACTTCTTCAACCATCCCTGCACCCCGGGCCAGTACATGTTCATGCTCTGCTACAAGAACGGTGGGCTCGCGCGCGAGAGCGTCCGCGACGCCCTCACCCGGCCTGAGGGCGGCGACCCCTGGGCTAACTTCAACCGGGCCGTCCTCGACACCCCACCGCTCGACGTCCGCTCCGAGTCCGACAGGGCGAAGCTGGGTCTGTACTTTGACCTCCCCGAGATCGTGCCCAACATCAAGGCCGGCACATGGCGGTACACGGCGAACCAGGACGGCAGCGACCTCGCTGAGTCCGCGGCCGCGTGGGACAAGCAGACGGACCCGCGCATCATTGTCGAGTCGCAGGCGCTCTCGATGCGCCTGCGCAGCCAGAATCTCGTGCACAGCGCCCGCGACGGGCTCCCGGCGCAGCCGCGCCGGATCTACCTTGTCGGCGGTGGCTCCCTGAACCCGGCGATCGCGCGGGTCATGGGCGATGTGCTGGGCGGCGTCGACGGCGTATACAAGCTCGACGTTGGCGGCAACGCGTGCGCTCTGGGCGGCGCGTACAAGGCCGTGTGGGCGCTCGAGCGAGCCGAGGGCGAAAGCTTCGACGAGCTCATTGGGAAGCGGTGGAAGGAGGAGGGCGCAATCCAGAAGGTCGACGACGGGTTCAAGGACGGCGTGTTCCAGCGGTACCAACCCATCGTCGGCGCGTTCGAGGAGATGGAGAAGTGGATCCTGAAGGTCGCCCACAACTGAGCGGGCAGGACGACGCCAAGATAGAATCAAGATAATAACGATGAATGACTACGACCCTGGCGTTTGGGCCTTGACGAATCGCGAATATTCCGAGACGGCACATGTCGCCAGTGACATGGGAGAGGGGGTGGATGAGAGGCCAGGCCGACTAGTTCGGCCGAATAGCATCGAGGCCATCACGGAGGAACGTCACCTCAAAACATCACAAAGGGACCCGTCAGGTAATGAATAATGCGTGTGTCCTGGTATCATTAGGCAACTGGTCCATGCAGCCAAGTCATGCTCGCCCTCCAACCCTCGGATCCTCGACACTCAAAACTACCCAGAAGGGCCGCCCGTCTCCAAGTGCCACGTCCACAAACCCAACCTTGACCCGCCACCCCGGCAAGTGTTATCTACAACAAAAAAAGTGAAGACTAACCACCACCCAAAAGCCGTTGTCGAGAAAGAGAAAGGACATCACATCTGAGAAAATGCCGCCCTCGTAGACCTAGAAGTTCCTTCGGTCGTGGTTCCAAGTATACCGTGAAGAGCAAGGGGAAAACCCTCTGCAGTTTCATCCCCGTTGCCGAACGACCAAGTATCGGAACTCATAGGGGGGGAAATATCCCCGTAAAACCATTCCGCAACACGAGTGGGGGTATCAACCGTTCCCAACTCCGTCCAAAGAAAAACAGAAAGAAATATGCTTTGCTTTTTTTCATGCCTCAGTCAGTGGGGAGGAAAGCAAAGCAAACAAAGTAAAGAGTGAGAATGCTGCTTAGAACAGAACCAGCAGGCCCAGGACGAAGATGACCAGGCACGTGGTGCAACTCTTGCAGCCGCCGGTGGCGGCATCGAGGCTGAACATGACGGGCTCGGCGCGCTTCTCCGCGTTGGAGACGACGACCACCGTGGTGCTGGCGGGTGGACGGGAGCCGCTGCCGTTGGCGCTGCTGCCAAAGGACAGGGCCGGGGGCGCGGTCGGGCGGAAGACGGTGCCGTTGGTGATGGGGTAGGGGGGGAAGACGTCCGTGGTAGGACGCGGGTGCAGCATTGGGGTGCCCGTGATGTAGATGGTCGTGCTGGCCGGGGGCAGACGGAAAACATCCGTAAAGATACTAGCAGTGCTGTTCTTGGTATTGCTCTGCGTGACTGTGGCGGTCAGGTTCTTGTTCACAGTGACCAGGGACGTCTGGACGTGGTCGCTGGCGGTGATTGTAACGACGGAAGTTTGGGTGTCGGTCATGATGTGAGTCTCGACACCGCCCGAGGACGCGGGGGAGGCGCTGACGGTCTCAAACACCTGGTCGGTGACTGTCTTGGTGATGACGACGACGTCCGTGGCGGTCGAGGCCTGGGAGGTCTCGGTGGAGGTCAGGGCAGGAGTGCCGACGTGGCCTATGGCAGAAGACACTGCAGTGCTGAAGGTCAGAGTGGTTCCATCAGCCACGGAGACGTAGACGGTCTGCGTCGCTACCTCTGTCACGACCTGGGTCGCCTTGGAGCGCGAGGAAGTCTTGGTCGAATGCTTGGGAACGTCATAGGACGAGCTGACGATGGGCATCTCGGAGATGGGCGTCAGGCTATCGACAGTGACCGTGTAGGTGATCAAGATGGTGTCAGTGGTTTCGGAATCAGGAGCCGAAGAGGTCGTCTTTGAGATCTTGGAAGAAACAAGGGCCGAGGAAGACGAGCTGACAATGGCTGCCTCGGTGACGGTCACGTACACGGTGTGGTCCTGAACCTCAGGCGAGCACTGGGCCTCGAGGGAAGGAGTGAAACTGGGCTGGAAGTCAACCGTGACGGTGGACAGAATGATGGTCGTGGGTGTGTAAGTGAAGGTCGAGGTGACCTCCTGGACAGCCGACGTGACCACATGGATTTCAGTCAGGGTCTTGGTAAGGATGACCGAGGCGATATCAGCAGAAGAGGGCTCTACCGAAGGGGTAGCCTCGCTGGTGGAAACGCCCGTGGAAGACATGCTGACAATGGGCTCAGAGTCGACGTGGCTCTCAGTGGCAGTGGCGGTCAAGTACGCAGTCTTAGTCACAGAGGTAGTGATGAACTGAGTGACAATGGGGACAGACCTGAGAGAGTGTAAGAAACGAGCAACAAGATCGGAAGGAGGGAAACTTACTCAGAGACAGCGGATGGGCCAGACAGGGTCGCATTGACGGCCTTGGCAGATGAGACGGTGGTGCCCTTGGCAGACTGGTGAAGAGTCCGAGTGCGAGTCATCTTAATGGTCGTGGTAGTGTCGGCGGTAGTCTGGTTCATAAAGCCGGTGACAGTCTCCTCAGCGTCATCAGAGCAGAGAGTCAGGGTACCAGTGGGCAAGATGTCAGAAAGAGTGGAATTGATGCCGTGGTGAGTGCTGTTGATGTGAGCAGCGTTGTACTGCATGGCAGGGAAACGAGGGACAATGTGAGTGCCCGAATCATGGCCAGCGCTACCGGTAGCCGAGCCTCCAGTCGCGACTATTTTGGTGTTAGTACATAAGAGGAGAGTGAAATCTCTGAAAAGACACAACACTCACAATGAACGCCAATAGCAATGCCACCGCCAATGATGGACGCAAGGACAATTGCAGCGCAGATGACAATGAACGTGTCAGTCTTGCGATAAGTGCTCCAGTCCTTGTTGTTCTGGACGGCACCATCATGGACGCTCAGGTCGTCATCCTCGCGATAGTAGCCGCGATGGCTGCGGGGGCAGTGCTTGTCTGTGAAGCCGGTTAGTTTCTCCACAGAAGTCTGGGGTGCTCAAACGACAAAAGACTTACTCGTCATTGTGATGGAAACCTGCAGCTTGTTGGAAAAGTGCTGGCTTGGGTTGATCTGAGGATTTGTTAGCTCGCCATTTTTCACGAGAGAGACTCGGGAGCAATGAAAGAGTGTGATCTGATGAGGCAAAGATGAGGGCAAAGGTGAAAGCAAGGGTTTAATGCCGTTGAGCCACAAAGAAGCATTTAGCAAATGTGTAGATGTGTAAAACGAATGAGAAACAAATGAATGAGTCTGACTTACTGCGTCTGTTGAACGAGAGATAAAGCGGAAGAGAGTGTGTCGTCTGCAAAAAGATTTCTGCGGTCAGTTGGTTGTGAGAAAGAGAAAGACTTTGTGTGTTGACGTAAAAAGAGTGTGAAGTATTGTTGGTGTGTGAGAGTGAGAAGCTCAGTGAGAGAAGGTACGCGGAGGAGGGTGGGAGAAGCGCGTCAACAAAGATGGGAAATAACAAGACCGCACACCCAAATCTGCTCAGGAAGGTACGAAGGGATGGATGGATGGATTCTCTGAAAAACTCGGGCTGACAGAAACAGCAAGGGCGTAATAGAGAGATATCATGTGAGATAACGGATAGCTTATTTCGATCTGATGATCAAGGCAATCGAGATGTAATTGATCTTCTCATGAGCCATGATCCAGGAGTGAGGATAATAAGGAGAAACAAAAAACAGTATATGAAACGGGCTGATTCCATCTCAAAGATGAGATGGATATCAAGACTGCAAAGTGGTGATCTTAACTTACCTCGAAGGCGAGATGGCAAAAGAGTGCTGGCGATGAGAACGAAGGACGCAAAGTGTGCTGTTTCTATCATCAGCGACGACGATATAGGGAATAAACAAACGGAGAAAGAAGGATTTTTTTCAATCAGTCAACATACCTTGAATTTGCTAGAGGGCAAACGAAAGTTGTGGCGCGATATGCGGTGGTGGTGTTTTAGTAGAAAAGTGGAAGCGGATTCAAGATTGCGTGGGTGGGAAGAGAAGAATGACAGGTGCTTTATTAAGACCAATTATGAGTTGGCAGAGAATCCGTTTCGTCAGTTCATCGGTGAGGGGGTGAATACTCTTGGTGTGATTATGGAGCAACCAGTCGAGGTGGTAGGATGCTCGCCAGGAGGCTATTGCCCCGCATCCAGTCAATCAACCACTCCAGTATGCGGCATGACAAACCAAACATGGTCCTTAAAGTAACAAGAGGCACGGCGATTGTACCTGAGGGCACTCCTACGTTTGCTGAAGCACTATGATCACATCCTGAGATTTAGAATGATAGCTTCTGGTGTCATGAAACTATCGTGGGATCTTGCTTTCCGAGTCCAATATTGTATGCCAATGGAACTTCCTTGAATACACATCTTTGAGGAAAAGGCATTGCGTATTTGAAAAGTACCCCTTTGAACGACTAATCCTATACATGTGCTCGCAAAAGAAAAGCAAGATGGCCTGACCACCTTGTGCTACGCTATCACCCGCGGAGCAGACTATTCTGTGAGGGTATCTGGGCAGGTATCACTTGCACTCTTTGTAAGATTTAGAAACCCGACCATGCTTTTCTTTTGTTAACCTTATATCGTCTTAGTCGAGGCTTGAGGCCAGTGTGGGAGGATATAACTGTGGGCCGCTTCCCTAATTTATCTGTTGACATGCATTATTGCTGGTTGATTTGAAAAAGTCTGCTATGAATATTGATGTAGAAGACGTGCTTCTCAAAAACTTGAGAAAAGAAAGGTTACGCGTCATGTTGACTCGACACCCGGTGCTGCGTTCGAACATTTCCCCTACCAAATGGACACTGTTTGTGTTTTTGAGAATGCGTCTTACATTTAAAACAACGGTCTACCTGTCAGTTTCGTCGAGAAGCCCAACACAGAGGATGGCAAATTCACTGCCCATCTAAAACACGGTTCCTTTATCTCTCCCCTAGTCGGGACTAAGAGTAAACTCCGCAGCCACAAAGGGGGTGGGGGGAGAACCTGAGCAGGTTAGAAAAATAACACAGGAAATCAAAGGGAGAGCCACATACACCAAATTGATTCATCCCATGCCAGATGCTGAGCGAAGCACAAGTAAACAATCATGGTTGAGTCGGCCGGCCGCCCATGACGAGAAACTTGAGATGAAGCTTAAAGTAGAGAGCATGGAAGTGAAGTGGAGACAGGTCGTTGAGCAATGAACGGCGACCTCCGTCACCAGCCACCCCCGAGGCACAGCAGCCGCGACTCCACATGTGTTCGCGCCCGGGCTGCGTCAAGCCACGACAAGGGGGAAGGTACAGCAAGCTTGAGCAGGTACCTTCCCTCTACCTTAGCTCAGGTAAGCACGCGTTACCTGACGAACTGTAGGCGTAGGCGCGAAACACGCCTCAACTATTCCCATCAATCTTCCATTTTCGTCGCAACCTCGAGAACGCCGGCTTCACCCCCTTCCCGTTGCCACCACCACAATTGAACTCGCGACTCCTCGCACCCGCCGCATTCGCCGCGCGTCTCAAACAGTGCTCTCGACGCGCTAAATTCCATCCATGATTTAGGCCACGCGCGTATCATCGCTTCCCCAACACGCCCTAGTCGATCGACGACAGCATCAATACAGCCCTTCCCCGCTTCACCAACACGTCAACCTCCGAGCGCCCGCAACGCAACTTCCAAGATGGCGCCCCGTCGCGGTCGCGCTGAGCCTCAAGAGGAGGTCGAGGAGGAACAGGAACAGGAACAGGGAGAGGGAGAAGAGCTTGTCAGCCTTCAATTCGACCAAGAATTGACCTGGAAGCCCGGGAAACCCATACCTACTACCGAACTTCTCATCCGCCTGCAGCTCCTATCCGAAGAGCTTGGCGGGCTCGACCAGGATACTGTCGATGTCGACTCTCTGAACGACGTTGCCCACGCGCTGGGTCAACGTAACCTGCTGGCGCACAAGGATAAGGGCGTGAGGGCGTACGCCGCAGTATGCATAGCGGACATCCTGCGCCTGTGTGCGCCCGACGCGCCATTTACCGCCGACCAGACCAAGGTACGTCATGAGCCCTCAATGCCGTGGTCTCCTGGCTAATGACCGCATTAGATGTTCTTCAACCTCGTGGTCACACACATCTTTCCCTCCTTGAGCGATCAAGGTCATGCTTACCACAGACAGCACAAGTATGTGCTAACGGCGCTCACCGATGTCAAAAGTATCCTCCTGATCAATGATGTCGACGGCGCCGATGATTTGTTATTGAAACTGTTTTCCGTCTTTTTCGATGGCGTCTCTGGCGGCTCGAACGCAGGCCCGGAGGAGGGTGTCTCGAAAGAGGTCCGCAACACCATGACGGAGATGCTGATTGCCCTGGTCGACGAGGCGTCGGGAATGAACCCCAAGGTCATCGAGGTCATTATGGCCCAATTCCTGAGGGCAGCGCCCCCAGGGGGTTTCCAGAGCCGCACCGAACGCGCGGAGCAAAACGGCAGCCAGTTGACGTTGCTGCCCAAGGACGAGCCGCCTGCCTATATCATGGCCAAGGAGATCTGCAACGAGTGTACAGAGAAGATGGTACACTACGTTAGCCAGTACTTCAGCGATGTTATCCTTGATGCCTCACGGTTCGCGGCAAAGACTGTCGGAAACCGTCACGACGAGGACGAGGACGAGGATGCGCCCAGGGGCCCAACGGATGCAGAACTGAAGGAGCTCAAGAAGGCCCACTACCTCATCAGGGAGCTGTGGCGCGCCGCGCCATCCGTGTTGCAAAATGTGATTCCGCAGGTCGAGGCCGAGCTTTCGGCCGACAACGTGGATCTTCGACAGCTGGCCACCGAGACACTCGGAGATATGATCTCTGGAATCGGTGCCGCCGGCCCGCCGCCGCCGCCCATTTTGGACCCTGCCCAGTACCCACCGCTGCGCTTGGCCGATGAGGCCCCTAGTCAGATTTCCGACAACGTCCTCACCACGCCTCTATCGCCTCAATCATTTGCGCAAACGCATTCGTCGGCGTATAACCATTTCCTGGGAAGGAGGAACGATAAGACAGCAACAATTCGCGCAGCCTGGACCACTGCTGTTGGGTACATCTTGGCCACTTCGGCTGGTGGTATCGGTCTGAACCGCGAGGAGCAGTCCGAGCTTGTGAAACATCTTGGAGAAAAGCTCAATGATGGTGACGAAAAGGTTCGTCTGGCTGCTGTCAAGGTGATGGAGCTCTTCAGCTTCCGAGACTTCGTCACCAAGCTTGCCGCACCCGGTGGCGTGGATAAGGATGGCTCGGTTCTGAGCAGTCTTGCCGACCGCTGTCGTGACAAGCGCACCGCTGTCCGAGTCGACGCCATGACTCTGCTCGCGAAGCTGTGGGCTGTTGGGTCTGGAGAGTTGGCCGCCGGGCAGGAGAGCGTTATTGCGGCCCTGGCCGGGATCCCCTCTCGCATATTCAACGCGTTTTACGCAAATGACTCTGAGCTCAACATCCTGCTGGATCGTGTGCTCTTCGAGTGCCTGGTACCATTGTCCTACCCCCCCATCAAAGCGCCCAAGAACACCAGGGCCGTGGCCAGCCAGAGCTCACAGACTGCGAGCGTTGCGGATCAGGACCGCATCCGGGCAGAGAGAATCCTGCTCCTCACTCAGTCGTTGGACCCCGCGGCCAAGAGAGCCTTTTTCGCAATGCAAGGCCGCCAGCCCCAGTTCGCGCAGGTTCTTGAGGCCTTCATCAACCAGTGCGAGAGCTACAACGGCGGTGTGATGGATGACAACCGGCCAAAGAAGACGGCCAACCTGGAGAGGACGGTCCAGTACATCACGCAGTTCTTCCCGGACCCATTCAAGGTCAAGACGGATCTCCAGAAGTTCGCCAACCTCAACGACCGACGCGCCTACCAGCTTGTCAGGTTCTCCGTCAGCGCCGGGAGCGACTACAAGACGGTGCGTCAGGCCATCAAGGAGTTGGTCAAGCGCATCAACGCAAGCCAGAGCGCGACGTGCCTGGACACCCTCCTGCCTCTCCTGTACCGGTCGGCCTGCTTGTTGTTCAACCGCAGCCATTTGGCGACAATCCTGGATTACTCCAGGAACGATAAGGATGGCCTGGGCTCCGTCTCCCATGAGATCCTGAACGAGATCTCCCAGCGCAACCCCGAGCTTTTCAAGACCCACGTGGGCGAGCTTTGCAAGGGCCTGGTCGAGCAGGCGCCTACGGAGACCAACGATAACGACTCGACCGTCGTCGACACCCTGAAGGCTTGTGCGTCGTACTCTAAGAAATACCCCGAAGAGATTCCACAGGATCGCAAGTTTTCGCAGGCTCTCGTGAGCTACGCTCTATACGGACGGCCTGTCAAGTCTGCCAAATACGCCATCAAGATCCTTCTGGCAAAGGGTGACAGTAAGGGCCTCGTCAACGCAACCAGCTTGCTGGAGAAGATTATGGAAGACTGGAACTACGGCTCTTCGCACTTCCTAAACAAATTGCAGTCCGTCGCCCAGCTCGAATTGCAGGCCCCAAAGATCACTCTGGACTCGGACGACAGCATTCTCAACATGACGGTACAGCAAATCCTGCTCAAGGTCCGCACGGACGCTACAGACAAGGATCCCGAGTGGGTTGAGGATGCCGACGTGGACGAGGAACTACATGCGAAGTGCCTGTCCATGCACATTCTCGTCAACCGACTGCGCAGCATGGACGATGTCGAGGAAGCCAAGGAGAAGGCCCTCCCGGTGTTCAAGCTTCTCAAGACGCTAGTCGCCAAGAGGGGGGAGCTCTGCAAGGTCAAGGACACGCCCAACCACCACAAGTCTCGACTTCGCCTGTTGGCCGCTCGGTTACTGTTGAAGCTGTGCACCATCAAGCACTTTGATGATTTCCTGACCCCTGCCGACTTCAACCGCCTTGCTTTCACCGCGCAGGACCCGCAGCTCAACGTTCGCCGCGGCTTCCTCGAGAAGCTCCAGAAGTACCTCGTTCAGGGCAAGCTCCGAGCGCGGTTCTACACTGTCGTGTTTCTGACGGCTTTCGAGCCAAGCGCGGACCTCAAGCAGCGCGTCGAGACTTGGATTCGCTCTCGCGTCCGCGCCTTGCAAACGAGCGAACAGCATCCCATGGAGGCTATCATGGGAAGACTCATCTCCCTGCTGGCCCACCATCCCGATTTTAACAAGCCGGACAACTTAGAAAACGCCAGCGCTGAGGAATTGGCAGCTTATGCAAGCGACCTGGCGGACCATGGCCGCTACATCCTTTATTATCTCACCAACGTGGCCACCGAGGACAATCTGGGGCTCATCTACAAGTACGCTGAAAGGGTCAAGCAGACTCGCGACGCGATCGATCCGGAGGCGAGCGAGAACCTATACATCGTCAGTGACCTGGCCCAGGCCGTCATAAGGAAATGGCAGGAAAGGAAGAACTGGAGCTTCCAGGCGTACCCGGGTAAGGTCGGCCTGCCGATCGGTCTCTACACTGCTCTGCCTTCGCACCAGGTCGCCCAGGAGATTGCCGAGAAGCAATATCTGCCAGCAGAGATTGACGAGAAGCTGGACGGTCTTTTCAAGTCTATCGACCGAAAGAAGGTGAGTTGCCGTGCCCATCGCATGCTCGGTGGCCAAGGCTAACAGTACTGCAGAAGAGGAAATCCATGGACGAGAGGGGGGATCATCAACCCGCCAAGAAGGCCAAGCAGGCACCCAGGACCAAAGAGCCCAAAGCACCCAAGGAGCCCAAGCCAAAGAAGCAGAAGGTCAAGAAGCCTGCCAAGGCCAAGCCAAGACGCCCTGAGTCCGACATTCCGCCAGAGAACCGAAGACGCAGCGCCCGAGCCACCAGGGTCTCTCAGTACACCGAGCGCGACTCCTCAGACGACGACCGCGAGATGTGGGATGGTGTTAGCAAGTGGGAATACGTTGACGGCGAGCCTACGCAGGAAGAAGGGTCCGACGAGGACGAGGATGAGGACGACTCTTCGGTCCTTTCAGACGTTCCCGACGAGAAGGATGGCAAAAAGGGAGGGAAGAAGTCCATTGCCGTGGCCAACGGCAGTGATGAGGAATCGGCCCTGTCTGAACCCGAGGACGAGGCGACGGCTGACCCGGAGCCGGAGAAGGAGGAGGAAGTAGAAGAAGAAGCGGAGGAAGAAGCAGCAGCAGATGACGAAGAGGAGCCCGAGGAAGCCGCCACACCACCGCCCAAATCCAACGGACGCAAGGGCAGATCGGCTGCGGCAGCATCCAGGGCGGCGGCCAAAACGAAGCTTCCGGCCCGACCCGCGGCCAAGGAGAAGCCTGCCCCGAGAGCGGCGACTAGGGCGTCGGCGCGAACGACGCGAGGGAGGGCCGCCAAAGAGTCGATGGACATTGATGGGAGCGAGTGAGGAGTGTGTCGAGGGGATTGTACAAAAACAAATAGTGGTTTCTCCCCCTAAACTTTTGCGTTGCAGTTAGCTTGCGAGAGGTTTTTAGCTACTTCGTTTGGCTTATAGGCGATGGACAATCCCTTGTGAGGGGTAGGACGGGAGGTGCTCTGAGAGGACACTTGCGACAGCACCTGAATTCATTTGTTTACTTTTTATTCTTTTGCGAATCCCCCCTGTATATTGATCTCCTTCCTCGACGTTTGCGTCGTCGTTTTTGCATTGTCAATATATATACCCTCATCATGGTACCCACGATTTCCTCGCCCGCCAGACCCATTTGTCGGCCTTACGTCCGTCGGGGCTGTGTTAGTGTGTTAGTGTGTGTTGGCGTGTGTTGATTCAGCGCGTGATACCCAGGTGTGCTTCTGAAATGGGGAACCCCCGGAAGAGAAAAGCCGCATGCCTTCGTAGACATAAACCCCTTTCTCCAGGGTACTTGGCCCTCTGAAAGCCAGCTGCCATCCCGACGTGAGTTGGTCGTGACTCGGAAAGCTCATGGGGCCTCGTGAACGGAGGAGAAGCCTCGAGTGTCGAAGTTTAGGGTTTTTCTTTTTCTCTTCTTCCCCCGTCTCTCGCGGGCAGTATTCAGCCACCCGGGTCACGACAGAGAGTCAAACACCTTGGCTCATGCCAAGGCGGCAAAACTAAGAAAGAGGGCAGACAAGACGATCGTCACTTCGCCTCATCGGCTGGTCCGGCCTGGGCGGGTTCGGTATGATTTGTTACCTGGATTACTGGGATTATACTCTACAGTTCTGCAATAGGATCTCTCAAAGACCCGAGGGAAAAAGGAAAACGAGTATGGCGGGTAAAGAGGGGGGTATAAAGTCAAAGATTATGAAAAAAAAAAAAAACCAGGAAAAGCTGAGAAACAACTCTCCCCCCAAAACGCCAACAACATATATATCAGGGCGCGTCTAGCCTCTCGCATTGAAATTATAATCAAGGACAAAGCAAACGCCGACGCGCCGGTGCTGTTATCCGTCCTCCGGGCTCCTAGACCTGTGCCGTTCTCGCGCGATCAACGCTGAGCCGGCTGGGTCCGTCCTCCGCCTGAGCAGCTCCCGCTTTCTCCACGGCTCCGTCTCTGCCGCCTCCTCCGTGTCCGGTCTCTTCGCTACCGTTCACCAGGGCCTTTCCGTTGGGCTTGGCGCTGTCTTGGGCGTCGGTGGTGCCCTTCGCGTCGGCCCGGTCCGCCGACTCGGCCCGTTGCTCCCCTTCCTCGTTCTCGGTAATGTCGTCGGGCTTCTTGGGGCTCTCCGTGGACTTGCGCGCGTCCGTGGATCGTTGTGCCGTTTCCGTCTTCCCAGACCGTCTGGTATCGGTGCTGTGCCTTGTCGCGCGGCTCTTGAGCTTCTCGTCCGTCTTGCGGAGTTCCTTCTCAGTGCCGACGACGGTGTCCATGCCCTGGCCGTTCTTGATCGCCTGGAGCGCGCGCTCAGCAACGTCAACGCTCTCGAAGGCCGCGTTGTTGACCCGGTCCTTTTTCGACTGGAGCATGCCCCAGACGCCCTTTTTCTTCTCCTCCGCCTCGAGGGTCTCCATGAGCTCGCGAATCGTGGCCCAGCCAGCCATGACGTCCTTGTCGAGGTTCTTCTTGACATCGTCTGCCTGCTTGCGCCGCTCGCGCTGACCCTGCACAAGGCGTGCGCGGCGGACGACGCGGTCAGGCTGCTTTCTCCGCTCGACCTGCTTGGCAATGCCCTTGAGGGTGTAGCCGAAGGGGCTGATGATAGCACTAAGGTCCTTGAGGACAAACCCCGTTATGCCCATACCTGTTCCCTTGATGAAGCCCTTCACACCCTCCTTCTTGGCGCCCCTGACGGGAAGCCGGACCAGACCGGTTGTGCCGTCGTAGATGCCATATGCAAATTCTTTGCCGGCCGCTTTGAGACCGGAGCTGATACCGGTGACGCGAGGCGGGCGCCGGACGGTGTCGTCTCCGTACAAGCGAGGCGCGTTGTGGAAGCCTTGTGCGATTGCCATCGACAGATTCACCGGCGCCTTCGCTAGGGCTTGGGCCGATTTGCTCACGCCTTCTCCGACATCGTTGGCGTACTCGTCCACGGCGTCTTCGATATCGGTTCCCGTGTCGACGGAAGACATTGTGTCCCGGCGGTCCTGAGCTCCCGGTCTGCTGGACGCATTTCCGTCGGCCTGGGGTTGCTCTTTGTTTGTCTCCCCCCTGGCGCTGCCCTCTTCCGGCGGGTTGCCGGTCGTCTGAAGGGCGTCGTTGCTAATCTCGACGTGTTGGTGGAGGTTCGCGTCGGCCTGGAGGTTCCGGTTCTTGGCGTTTGTGCGCTTGTCTCTGAGGGCCCTGAGCTTCCGCTTCTTCTCCTTCTTTTCCTTTCGTTTGTGAGAGGTCTTGGCGAGTCTGTACGGCACGCTTCCGATTCCGCCAAAGACGTTGCCCATGGTCCCGGCGATCGAGCCCGCTATTCCCGTCACCGGCTCCCCGGGACCTTCGAAATCGTTCCATTCGGTGTGACGTAGTAGTCTGAGCTTCTTCCACGATAACTCGCCGTGCTCGACGATGACGTCGGCGGCGAGTGCGCTGAGCTTGACGTTGGTATTCTTGACCGTCCAGACTGCTGCGCGGTCTTTGAGGATGGTGCACCGCATGGAGTTCATGCCAGACAAGGTAAGGTGGTGGTGGAACGACCTGACGGCATTCTTCGCGCCGTCGCCTTCCAGCTCGATGTCCTTAGCCACCTTGGCGGCCGCTTCTTTCGCCTCGTCCGTAAGGCAGTATCCAATACCGGCGGCGAGCTTTTCGGCATCGAGCTGCTTGTAAGGCACGGCTTCAGGCCCCGCCTTGGAATTTGACAAGATGCTGCCCCAGAAATGCTGGTCGCCAAAGAACGGGACGATCATGGTCGGCAAGCCGCACTTGAGAGCGATGGCGGTGGTTCCCGCTCCGCCGTGGATGACGCAGGCCTTGACTCGGGGGAAGAGCCAATCGTGAGGTGTGTTCTCGAGCATGAAGATGTTGTCAGGCACATCCATCTCGTCCCCTCCTAGGCCGCCCCAGCCTTTGGACACCAGGGCGCGCACACCGGCAAGTTTCACAGCCTCGAAGATCATCTGAGTAAAGCGGTCAGCGTCATCGACGACGATGGAGCCGAAGCCGATATAGATGGGCGGCTCTCCGGCGTCGAGGAACTTCTCCAGGTCGCTAGGAGGCTCAAAGGTCGAGGCCAAGTCGAGGAAAACGAAGCCAGAGACGTCGATCTCTTGGCCCCAGTCCTGTGGCTTCGGGACAAGACCTGGGCTCCAGAGGTAGGTGAAGGGGACGTGTAGACGATACGTGGCTCCAGGGGCCCACAGCGTCGAAACAGCATCCAGACCGAGTGTCTTGACGCGGAAGTCGTTGACCAAGTCGCCCAGCCCCTGCCAGACCATCATCTCGACCAGGGGGTACGAAATGAAGTTGGTGTAGCCCGGGTCTACATTGGACTTCTTGATGCTCGCCAACGGGTGGGGAAAGGCTTGAGTCGGCGTGTACGGGAAGGTGAACATGAGATGTAGCGGGATGCCCAAGGCTTCGGCACAGTGGACATGGGCGAAGCTGGGAGGGTTGGCGATGATGGCATCAGCAATGAAGGGGTCTTTCTCTCCCATCATCTTGACGTTGTGTACGTCTTTTTCGTCGTCGGTGGCGTTGATGCAGGCTCTCCAGAACCCGTCAAACATTTCGGCCATGGCCGATCTGCGTCGGCCGATGTCTCCGGCTTTGACGGCGTCGAGCGTCGGGATCATTCCCGGGTTCTTCACCATGAAAGCCATCAGTTCCGAGGGGTCTCCTCCAACGGAGAAGAACTCGAGGCCCGAGTCCTGTTCGACAAAGTCGCGGAACGCGGGATGGGTCGCGATGCGGACGCGGTGGCCGTAGTCTTCCTTGAGGATTTTGCCAATTTTTAAAAAAGGTTGGGCATCACCGCGCGACCCGATTACCATGATGACAATGTTCAGTCGTGGTGCCGGTTCGCGATCGGCTGTGGCCGTGGTGGCAGACGATAGACGAGAGGTTGCAGACCGCTGGTCGTCCGGGCGCTCCTCGCCCTCGGGCACTGGCACGACCTTTTTGACGGCCTGTCCCAGGGCCTTGGCTAAATACCCCGTGTTTGCCGTCTCCTTGACTGAGATGCGCAGACGGCCATCCTTCTTCACCTTCCCCTTGGTGTTGTAATTATCGTTTCCGACGTGAAAGCGGCGGTAACGCTCGGCGATTTCCTTCTGGCGTTTCGCGTTGGCTCTGTTCTGGGCATCCTTCTTTGCGGCGGTGCTTCCCGAATCTTCATCCTCGTTGTCCGAGGAGTCGCTTGAGCTCGAGCTCGAGCTCGAATCGCGTCTGTTGGCGGCCCAGAGGGCCCTGTCCAAGTGGGATGTTCCCGCGCGCTTGGGTACGCGACGGAAGCCTGCGCTGCTGGGTCCGGCTTTGCGGGCCGGCGCATCTGTCCTCGACCTCTGTTCGATGGACGGGCGCTCTTGGTGGTTGATCGCACCGGACGGTCCAGAGAGCGGAGGGGCCAGATGTTTCGACGAGGGTGCGTTTTGCGGCCTGTCGTCTTTCTGCGGTGCTCCGGACGGGTTGGGGGCTGTCATCGGTTGTGGCGATGTAACCTCGGGCGGCACCAACGACGGATAGGCGATGTTCTTATTTTCGTCTCTCACGACTGCGGCGTTCTGGCCGCCCCGGTTGATCTCTTCGATATGAAGCTCCTGGGGCGGCGGCGTTGCAGCCTCCTCGGACTCTGTCGCCGTGCCCAAGGCCAGCTTTGCCGCGGTGGGTTGGTGCGCCATGATGGCGTTGGTTTTCACGTGTGGTTGATCTTGAATTGAGTTTTTTTCGATGGAGATGTCTGGGGAAAGCTCGTTGTGTAGGTCGAGGAGTATGATGTAAAATGCCTGCGCACAAAAGAAGTGGGTTGAACTAGAGACGACACCCGGTGCGACTATGGGCAATTAGGCAGAAGGGACTTGGGGGCGAAAGGTCAAACAATGTAGAAGTCGCGTCACCGTATCTTGGCTTGTTGTCATGCGAAGATGGACGTACGGTAGGCACGAAGCGAGAGGAGGCAGCAGGGCTAGTGTAATGAGAAGGCGGCGGAAGCATTGAGAGAAGCGTTGTTGTCCCTTACCTTAGTAGTACCGGGGCGCTAATTGCTCAGGTGGATAGGTACCTGAAGGGTTTCACGAAAAAGAAAGCTAGCTCATGAGGACGGACTGGACTGGGCTTGACGCACCGCTCCAACTGTTTCCCAAAGCATCATCATCACAGTTTGAGCTTGGAATTCCAGGCCCCTGCTCCCGATGACATCACATCCCCAGGGCGCTAGACGTATGCGCTTGCAAGGACCACCCCTGCCAGTGAGGTAGCTCCTGGTCCGTGCATTCACTGACATTGGCTAGATCGGTCTGGCCCGTGCGAATATAATCCCGTGTGTGGTAGGCGGAGACTCTTGCCCGGTTCTTCTAGCCAAACACGGCCTCTGGATTCCAACCCGTCTTCAACAATTCCTATGCAGACGTTACCTCCTCGACAACGCACCTCCCCTCCCTGTCTTTCTGTCAGTCACGTCGTCGGCTTCCACCAAGACACGTCAGGCACAGATAGCATGACCGTAATGAGCATGCAGCCTCAACCGAATCGAAAAAGTATGAGACCGCATCCCGCCTCGCTAGCAGTTTCCCGCCTGAACCCAAACTGGGCTCAAGCCTCTTGGACCATGCACACTGCACACGGCACGTCGCCCCAGACACGCACGACCTGGAACCTTTTGGTTTTGAGGGGCGAGCTACCATGGTTGACTTATTCTGGCGCCACGCATGTGATCCACACCTGTCCGATGCGGTCCAATGAAGTCGGTCATCGGTCCGCACACGCGAAGCACAGCCACGAGTCACTCGCCACATGCTGTGTCCACCGGCCAGCCCAGCATTTTGCAACGTCCATGTCATCACTGTGATATGTGTACCCACTTATGTATGAGGGTCAAATTCTAGTCTAGTATTTGTGTGTTACGATGCGTGGATGTGGCTTTTGGAGGGGGGCGATGATGGACGGCTGGACCTGGTCGTGGCTGTTTTTGCACAGACTCCGTCATCCGCCCGAAGCGACCTTTAGCATCTCTCAATCGCGTCCTCGCCTGGCTGTGGATCCGTAGAGACGACACGTGTGACTTTTTACTGCTGGTTACATTCCGTGCCTTTTGTAATGATTTGCTTGGTGAGTGTGCCGTACAGGTACGCCGCGTTTTTCCATAAACGCCCCGCTCCGCTCCGCTCCTAGCTGTACCATATCCCCTCTACCGAACCATCACCAGAATCAATTTTGCAGAATGCGGCATCGAGCATCGGTGGAAACATTTGGACTTTTTTTACTTTCAAATTCATGCGGCTGCACGTTGCTCAGCAGCCAAGATCATTCGTAACTCATAAGAGACTCCTTCGCCGTGAAACCTACTTCCCGAAATGCGAAGCCACACCACGAAGCATCTCGGCTTACCTGCGCCGGGGGCCCCCGTGGTATCCAGCTGCCACTGCACAAGAACTTTACTGCAAAGGTAGACTCTTTAACCGCATCGTCAGAATTTCGAGTTGCTGGCGGACTTCTCCTCCCTGTCCCTGATCGTCCACCTCCTTTTTCTCGATGGCCGTCAGCAACGTCTGCGCGGCGTGCTGCAAGGGCTCGACGTAGCGTTGCTCCACGGCCCCGGGCATGCTGGCCGGTACCAGATGTTGGAAGCTCGTGCCGGCGAACAAAAGGTAGGCAAAGTTGGCGACCTGCAGGTGGAAGGGGAAGTTCTGCACCCAATATTCCCAGAGTGCCGGAACGTCCTGCTCCTTGAGGAATGCCATGTTGGGGAACAGCGCGTACTGCAGGGCCTCGATTGCGTCTGCTGTCGCAAACCTGTTTGTGAGCTTGCGTTTCTGAGCGACGATCAACTCCTCCCTCAACCACGTCACTGCAGAAGCCTGCAGAGCGGAGAAGATGCAGTTCTCGAGGAGGTCCTCGAGAATCTTCAGCCGGTCGTTGTCATCCGGGTCGTCGTGCAAGACGAGCCCCGCGAGGGTCGTGGCGACGTTCCGGACCGAGAGCGAGGGGTGGAAGACGGAAACCAGCGTCAAGAGGTGGTGGTAGGGCATGAAGTCGCCGTCTGACGGCGAGATGCGCTTGTAGTTCTCCAGCCAGAGCCCCATGACGACGAGGGCCTCGGTGGTGCCAGGGTTGCCCACGATGCGCGACTGCGGGTCGTCGCTGAGGAAGTTCTGCAGGAGTTTGAGGTGGTCGGGGAACATTGTCATCTGGACCTGCTCATAATCGGCGTCAAAGACCTCGGCCGAGAAGAGCCAGTATGCAACCAGGCACCAGACGCCGCCAGTGGAGAGCTTGATGGTATCGGGGCCGAGGACGTCGGCGTCGATGGCCAGCGGGCTGTTGGGGATGGACCCCTCGAAGATGTCCTTGACGGAAAGAGCATGCACTCTGTTCAGGCCAAGATCTCCTGCAAGTGCCTGGGCTTACTGTTAGCAGGTTCGTCCGTCCGCGACATCAGACGAATTGCACGTACAACCAACTGACCAACCAGAGCGTCCCTCGCCAAGAGGTCGGCGTCCTCTTTAAAGGCGCGCAGGACGCTCTTGCGGATCACGACACGCTCTGGGTTGTAGAATTCCAACAGGCGTGATGCCCACTCCATGCCCGTACAGTTGACGTAGGCCTCGATTATGCAGGTGATGAAGGACTGGAGCAGCCTCTTGGTCGTGTCCGGCTCGGTCGGCGCGAGCTGCTCTTTCTGGCCGGCCTCGGGGTCGGGTGCATGCTTCGTAGGGTCGCTCTTGGTGAAGGGCGTGTCGAGCTTGTTGCTGGACTGGCGGGTGGGCAGGGGCGGGCGCTTATCGCCCGAGAGGGAGCGGACGAGGGCGATGACAGCAGCTGTCATTTCGGGGTTGCGGGGGTGGTAAGTGCGATAGACGCTCTGGAGGGTCGTGTGAACGAAGCGTGAGGGACGCGCGACATTCAAGCGCTTGTGCAGGATGCTCAGCATGCCGACCAGGTGGACAAAGATGGCCGTCGTCGCGGGGTCGTCCTCGCCGTCGGTGGCCTCGTGGACGGTCTTTTCCATGACCTCGAGGACCTTCAGGATGACCTCGCGCGGGTTGCCGAGCTGGGCGATGGTCTCGAGACACTGCTCGCTCCCCTGGACGGGTACGAGCATCTCGACCAAGTCCCAGCCTATGTCTTGGGTGAGCTGGGCATCCTGGAGAATTTCGTTGAGTTCGGGCAAGATTTCGGGCGAAAGCACCTCGCCGATGATGGTGAGATAGGTGAACGTATCGGTCGCGGGTGGCTTGGACTCGCGCAGGGCCTGGAGGCCGTTGGGCTTGTCAGCCATGGCGATAGGGTGATTCGTCGCTTCAATCATGGTTCAGCTCGACACCTCTCTGTCTGTCGTTCGGTTTGGGTGAGAAGAAGTCTGGGCGAAACGAGCGGAGAGGGAGACAAGGGGAAGAAGAATAGCACGAGGAAAAAAAGAGAGGCTGCGTCTTTCCAAGCTTCGTCATCGGCGCTGAATGTAGTGCGGCCGGAGAAGAGAGCAAGGGTGGGGGGAGAGGTTCCAATCCAAATTCTCCCCCATCAGCCAATAATATAATTAGCACTTAGCACCTCACCACATTGCAGTTCACAATGCTAGTGCCCACAAGTGGTAGGTAGGTACACACCACTAGACTAGGTACCTGGGTAGAGGAGATTGAGGCGGGCGATGGCAGCAAGACCCAGAAATGCCACCGGTGGGCTCAGCATGAGAACCCCGCACTAGCCTTGATTCAGTGAGGATGGGGCGGGGACACACTGGATCGTGAGGGAGAGAGAGAGTTGAAGGCATGCTGGAACACCGAGGGTCTCCGGTGGAACTAGAGGCTGCCCCCGCCCTCGGTGCAGACGTGTCAGTGGACGAGTGCAATGAAACCCGGCGGCCATCAGGTCCAGCGCAGGCCGGTTCCAGTTGGGGCGGGGAGCAGGCTTGGCGGTGAACGTGTCTGGTGCAGTCCAGCGTCTAATTATGCCCAGTGCCTGCATTCTGCGACGGCAGATCTGGGATTTCTCAGAACGGGATACCTACTCAGGAGAGCGGGTGGCAGTGTCATTCATTCATGCAGTACACCGGTTTGCGGACGATCGGCCCGTGTTTGAATGATGCTTGACATTACTGAGTATCCGACCGTCCCTAGGTAGTCCCCTCTAATCTGTGGGTCGGGGACGGGACCCTGGAGACTCGCTGCGCTGGGGATGCGTTATCGATAACACAGAGTGGAGGGCCAAGATAGCGGGATGCACTGCGACAACCCCTTGGCGACCGGGGAAGGAGCGCAGTGCGATATGGTAAGGCACGAGAAGATACCTTAGTACCTACGATACGATACGATACGATCGATGCCTGTGGTGGATGTACCCTGGATCTGCCAGTACCTTTGACCCTGCTTGCCTGTCTTGTGTCACTTCTCCTTTGGCACACTCGATTATCGTTTGGGTTGCAGGTGCACACCGACAAACAAAAGAGAGAGAGAGAGAGAGCCTATCTTTGGGATATCAACCCGGGCCAAAGCGGAGAGATGGTAACGCTATATGAGAGTCTCTCCTAGTAACTGTTCCATTTCCTCCGACAGAGGTCATCATCCGGCGCCATCTGTCAGTCTTACCCTTTGTCAGTCTGTCAATCACACACCGGTTCCCCCGCACCGCACCGCACCCGCCATCCGTGGTGGTTGCCTTTTCTTGAGGTATCCGTACCTACCTACCACCTTACATAGGTACGCAGTATACAATATGGCCGCTGCCCTAGCAAACGGCGGGCCTAGCTGGTAATGTAAGCTAGGTAAACTTAGGTACCTAACCCAAGTCCAGCGCTTTGCGAGGGTTCGACAGTCGTGGTATCGCCGTGGTACATGCGTCGTCACACTCCCCCTCCCGGCCAGACCCTCACCGCGGGATCCTCCCTCTCTGGCAGAAGTACTCTCTTGTCCCGTCCCATCACATCATCCCATCCCACCAAGAGGGAAATCAGGTGCGCTCCCCGCCCTGCCGCTTGCTCACTTGTCCGCCAAACGCCCTCTTACCACACTACACTCACTACACTTGGACCTGACCGATACTTGCCGACCACATTGGCAGGCTACAGCCGAACTCAAGTCAACGTCGTGCCGTCTCATCCCGCAACCTCATCTGCTCTTGCGCAGTCTCGCAGAGCCGCTATACTATCTAGCCCTCACTCTCTCCCCCCTCCATGTCTTCTTGCGCTTCACCGTCCCCTCCCACCAGGATGGATAGGTTCTGTCGGCTCCCCCCGGAGCTCCGCGCCGCAGTCGTCGAGCACGTCGTCGACCACTGGCGCCACGGCGATGATTCTGACTCCATCGCCGACTACGCACTCGTCTGCAAGGAGTGGCAGGCCATCGTTGAGCGTTTCAACTTTGCCGTTTTGCGAGTCACCCAGGCCAACCTGGACGACTTCGAGACCGCCATGGTGGGCTCGAGGCGGGGTATCGTGAGGCAGATTAATCTGCACGTCGAGCTGCCCACCTACGACAATGATCCCTGCGAGAAGAAGGAGACTTGGGAGGACAAGGCCGAGAACAATGTCTGCTTCACCCGTGCATTTTACCGCCTCTTTCACATCATGAGCCGCTGGTCCGCCGACGACGTCACCAGCGGCGGCATCCACTTCACTCTGAGCATCTCCTCACCCAGCGACCTTCGCAACGCCAATTTTGAGCTGTGGCAACGCCGCAGATGGAACATCAAAGACATTGGCGAGAAGCGCTTCGCCGATTCCTGGATCGACTTTGTCGGCCAGGACGAGGAGTTCGACAGGGTCAACCGCCTGCCCGCCGTCAGTGTCATCCGGTCCTTCACCTTGAGCCCCCAGAACCACCGAGCTCTGATGCCTGCCGCCCACGCCGACATCGTTGCGAGACTGCCAGGGCTGCAAGAAGCCTGCTTCGACATCACTAAGGATCGTAAGAAGGAGACGCGTAAAATCCACTTTAACCGTGCGTCGCCCCCCTCCCCCCGTCATCTTATCCTCTTCAAGTGCACGACGGCTAACCACCCTCGCAGAATTCGCCGGCTCCATGAGCAACTGGCCCATCACGCTCAAGTCGCTCACCATGGCCAGCAACACCATCTCGTCGTGGCGTCAGATTCCCCACGAGGCCTTGGCCGAAGGCGACAGCGGCGCCAAGCTCTGTGAGAGGCTCCGCTCCACCGCCCAGCACCTCAAGCACCTCAACGTCACCAACGTCGTGCGGATACGGGAGTTCCTCCGGCCCCACTGGCCCCTTGGCGCCGACGACACGGAGCCCTTCCTGGCTCATCGCCCCTACTACCCCGAGTTCTGGCACCTCGAAACGCTGTACATCTCTTACGGCTCCATCTGGTACAACACAGAGTGGCACAAGCAGGGCGACAACATCAATGAGTCGTCGGAGCTTGTTGAATTCCGTCAGAACGTCTCGCTCGCAGCCGCTCGGATGGCTTACACGATGCCCCGGCTGAAGCACATGACCGTCAAGCAGCGGCCCCTCATGTGGGCAGGCAAGCACGAGCTTGAGTACAGGGTCGAGGAGGCCAACGAAAAGCCGTCAAAGGCAACGCTCACCTGGACCAGTACCTTTGATTTCAAGCCGTGGGAGCGGACCGTCGAGGCGTGGACCGAGGTGGCGGCCCGGTATGCCGGGGTGAAGCTCGAGTCTCGCGTCAAGTCCGCGGCGTGGCATACGGATGGCAGAGCGCCCCTGCTGCCATCTCTCACCTTTTAAAGACGATCTTGGGTTCAACATACGGAGAGGAGGGGGGGTGGGGGTTGTTTGTCTTTTTCTCTTTTCTTCTTGATTTTTAGCGTCGTCGGGTCCATTTTGGCAACACTCTCTCATTACAATTGGTTTACGATACCCGGGTTTTAGACCATTTTCCGCGGCGTCAGGCATATGGAAGGCAACGGCATCAGGCGGGCTACGACAGATGGGAAAGCAAGGCCCGTTTGAAAGAGGTGCGGCACACATCGCGTACGCCACGGCTGGCGTACTTCAGCCTCATTTTTACCTGGATAGACACGTCGAATGAACAGCAGCACACGACATTTCAAAACAGCCCATTGTTCACTGTCTTTTTTTTTGTTTTTTTTTTGTGTGCTGGATCCCGCGGCTCTGCCCTGCCCAGCCCCGCGAGGGTGTTGTCATGATTCAGGACGATATGGTTTCTGCTACAAGTTGCCGAAGCCATCGATTGCCCCGTGCCCCCGAGGCCCCCCTCCGGCGCCGTCTCAGCACAAGTAGGGCTGGAGTGAGTTCGCCAGCAAAGAGCCGGTGGGCGAGGCCGGCTTGGCAGTGTCAACGGCGGGGCGGCATATCCGCCGCGGGCAAATACTCGATGGGGCGACGAGGGGCAGGCATCGTCATTTTTCATCTCAACTATGTGTGTGTGTGTGTGTGTGATATACGATAGACGAGATAAGACGAGACGATTCGGAATTTCTTCCGATTGTGTGTCCCACGGCGTTAATAGTTCACGTTTTGTTCATTTTCTTCGTCTACGTGCTACAATAGTAGTAGAGGCTAGGAGGATTAAGGTAACCCCCTAATTCCCCTCCCGCCCCCTACCTCCCAAAGAACGCCGTGTTGCCCGTAACGCCCATGACTTAAATAAACCCTCCCTCCCACTGGCCTGACCTTGATAGAGTACATGTCGTCGGACAAATTGGTCACATCTACATGAAATGTGTGTGTGTATGTGTGTATGCTTTTAATTCCAAACCCGGAAACCCTGGAGGTGGGGTTTTCGTGTGCGTGCGTCTCCCGCTTACTCGTCGTCGTCGCCGTCGTCGTCGTAGCGGCCGGGCTTGCCGCCCCAGCTGTAGCGCTTGCGGGTGCGCAGCATCCAGCTCCAGTGGGACCAGGGGTCCTCGGCGAGCTTGCTCATCTCGACGACGTCGCCGTGGCCCTCCCAGTGGGTGGTGAGGCCGGCCTCGACGGCGAGGCGGGCGTACTTTGTGGCGAGCCAGGGCTCGCCGACGCCGTTGTACTCGATGGCGGCTAGGGTGTAGGCCTCGCTGAGCAGGCCCCAGTGCTGCTCCTGCTCGTAGAGGGAGATGAGCAGCTGGGCCATCTCGGGGGTGGCGCGGGAGGCGGGCGTGTAGTCGTTGAACTCCTCGCGCAGGGCGGAGATCTGCTCGATGCGGCGGTCCGATTCCTCCGTCTTGAGGCGGTGCTGCGTGCAGTGGTGGCAGGAGCAGTGGAAGCCCCAGGTCGAGTGCAGGCGCTCGCGGCGGGCCTCGCGCGACTGCATCGGGTCGATGTACGAGAGCGTCAGCTCCTCGCCGGGGATGATGTCGCGGAGGGCGACGGTGCGCTGCGTCAGCGTGCGCGGGTCGAAATAGTAGTCCACGTTAGGGCGGCAGTCGTGGTTCATGCGGGAGGCTGAGCGTATTAGTGTGTGGGGGGGTGGAGGAGGAGGGGTTTTACTGTCTGGTAAGGGGGACATACTGTTAACGAAGACGGCGTAAAAGTCGTCACTGCGCTTGTCGTCCATCTCGACGTCGAAAGAGTTGGTGATGAGGATCTTGTCGACCATGGAGATATGGTCGCCCTGGTAGCCGTGGCTCGACATGTTGAGCCACTCGCCGCGGTGGGGGAAGGGTAGGTAGTCGATGGCTTGGGCCTGCAGCTTGCGCATGTCTTCGGGGGGGATGTGCGTGAAAGCGGCGTAGTCGATGAGCAGGCTGGCCGTCTCGCGGAGGATGATCTCGCCGCGGCGGATGGGCAGCGTGGCCACGAGGCCGTAGTCCTTGCCGGGAACCTTGGCGACCTGGAACTTGCGCAGCGGCTGGTTGGTGCCCTCGAGATCCTCGGGATGTGTGAAGCCCCGGGAGCGGGTGATGTGGGCGGCGCGGTCGGCTTCGGTGATGATGGAGATGCCCTTGCCCGACGCGTAGCTGCCGGCGTGGTAGATGCAGAACTTGGGGCTGTCGGTGCTGTTCTTGAAGCAGGGGGTCGAGTGCGTCCAGACCGAGTGTGAGAGGGGCGAGGATGTGAAGGGGGATGACGTGCCCGCCAAGGGGAACTGCTGGTCCTCGCGGTCGTTGTAGAAGAGGCCCGAGCCGTCCTTGTTGTTGCGGCAGACGAATTCGCCCGACGAGGCGGCGAGCAGCTGTGACGAGATGCACATCTCACCGGAGCCCGATGACATGATCTTGGACTCCCGGAAGGCGAGGGCAGAGCCTGCGCCCAGGAGCACGAGTGAGGCCTTCATGATGGCGACGAAGAAGGAGCGGTATCAGTGGAGAGAACGAAGGAGAAGAAAAAGGAATAATAAGAAAGAGCCTCGGTTGTGATCTACACAGACACGAATAGGGAGAAGCCAGAAGAAGAAGAAGAAGTATAAGAAGAAGACGAAACCCCGCTTAAGAAACCACAGGAAAGAAAGAGAGATGGAGGCGGAGAGGCGTAGAGGGAGATGGAAGACGCTACTTTCGTCCCATTGATATATATATACTATGTATATGACAGTCAGATGTTTCCCAAGGACTCCAGGCCGAGCGAGGGCGGGTACTACGGGACTTTTCGTATTAAATATCCCCGTGCAATCTCGATAGGGTAAAAAACAACAACAAAGAGCAAACAGTAAGCCCCCTCCCCCTGTGCCAGCGCCCTCGACTTTGAAGCATGCCTGCTGCGGGACGGCAGGGTTCGAGCTCGACACAGGCTAGACCAGTGTTTGGGATGTTCGTGGGGGAGCGGCAGGACTGGAGCTGGGGGGGGGGGGGGGGGGGGGGCGTGTGGGTCAAGTGAAAGAGACAAGATGCGATAGTTGGTTATGCGCGCGCGCGCGGTAGACGTGACAAGCAGGGCCTGCGAGCTTGGCCAGACCCGCATCCCTGGAAACGCAGACCTGGACCGCCTCGTCTGTGCCCGTCCATGGGATTCGGAAATGTGCAACCGAGTCTCTCTCGTGTGTGTGTGTGTCTCTCTCTTGGTCCTTTGTTTTTTGTAAAATACTACCACTGTCCCCTAATTACCTTGGTAGGAGGTACCTAGGTATTGTACGGGATGCACTACGTATCACAGTCTGATACTCCGTATAGTACGTATCATAGCATGTAGGTATATATGCCTGGCTGGCCTCCTCCGGCCCGGCGGCCTGATAGTCTAAACAGTCTGGTCTGATTACCCGGGTCGCCTGGCGGTTTGGCCCGATGTCGTCCTTATGCCGTTGAGCCGCCAGCTGGCCGGTTGGTTGCACACCCACCCCTATGGGCCATGGCGGCGACTTGAAGATGCGCGGGGAAGATGGCTTTCAAGACAGGTCGCTTTGCGAGGAGGGAAAGTAGACGCGAATTAGGGACCAAAGGACAATCCCAATTGGATGCTGCCATTGTTTGATCCCTGCAGCTGCGCACTTACCTATACCAACCACGGTAGTGATGAGCGATGGTGCCGGGTGCGGTGATGTGCAAATAAGCCCGTGGTGGAATGTTTCTTGTGTCAAGACCCCGGTTGATGGGCGTGTCCAGGGGCCCGTGTGTCGTGTGTCAGATGTGTTGCAGGAGCTCTCCAATGGGTGGAGAAACCGCCCCCCCCCCACTCCTTGTCAGGGGCTAAATACTACACACTTAGCTACCTGCGCAGGTTGCCTACGCAGTAAGATGAGATTAAAAAAAGAAGCGGCGGCGTCGCAGACGCAGCAAAAGCAGGGTCGGAGAGACGGAGAAACGGACGAGGTTTGGGCATCAGACAAAACAAGTCGAGAGATACCACTCTGATCGGCGGGGGGGAAACGGTCTGGGAGCCTTAGTCACGCCCCATGCCTCTTCAACCTCTCCTCCTCCTCCTCGTTCATTTTCCTCCCCGCCGTACCCCTGGCTTTGACCCAAAGAACAACCTTCTATGCATATTTCTGTTTGTGTGTGTGTGTGTGTGTGTGATTATCGTGGGAGGGTTCCACGCCGCCGGAAAGGGGAAGGTCGGCAGGACACAGAGGGAAAACATTCCGACAGGCTCATTGATCAAATAGAGTTAAATTTCGGCTGCTGCAGTGTGTATGTGTGTTTGTTTTCTGGGTTCCCCCGAGGTCGTTTCCCTCGATTGGGACAGATTGGGTTTGGCTGCTTGTACTAAACCACACACCCAACGTCGAGGATATATTCCCGGCAACCCGGTGTGTCACCGTGGCGAACCACGCAAAAGAAAAAAAGAAGAAAAGGAAAGAAAAAGAAAAAAAAGCCCGCGGCATGATGCTCGAACTGAAGCGCTCCGCGCGTCATCCGGCTCGCGGTACAGGACTCAGGTTGCGCTTTTTCCAGATATATCCGTACTTCTCAAATAGCCATGACGCTGCCCCCCCTTGCCGTCCGTGGCGCCACGCCTGGTCGTGCTTGCGTGCGGGGGGGATTCCTCCGTCGTCTGAAAATAACGTCTCATTTGATTTTCTCGTCTTCTCCTCCTTCCCGGGTTATCGTGGGTTGGCTGGTTGCCGTATATCCGCGAGGGTTTCGTCGCATCAGTGGCTCGTTCGGAACACCGCTACCGGGCGCCAAGATGGGAGTCATCGGACGGGACCGATCCCCCCCCCTCCCTCTTAGTCGGAGACTTTTACCTCTGGCCAGGCTCCGCATGTCAATCGGAATACGCGGGCTATCCAGGCAAATGGACACGCAGCCTTTCGCCCTCGAAGATGGTCTCGTCCATGGCGCTGCTCGTCCACGGCGGCGCTGAACCAGCACAGCTCGACCCGAAACCTCGGGCCCGGAAGCATCGCGCATATTCGTGGTAACCCGGCCACCGCGGCCAGGCCGTACACCGACGTCCTGCTTTCTGTTACGGCACGCCATGCTCTTGCCCGCGGCCGCCGTGTCCCCGTGATGCCGCGCCGCCTTGACGTCACTCAAATACAACGCCTGCTCGTCAGGAACTAGCACTCCACCATGAATGTGGACTCCGTTTTTGAGGTACCCCACGTGGTCGGGTAACGAGAGCGTCGTCGTCCGGCCGGGAAATCATGCCGTAGTATGTCGCTATCTCGACCCAGATCCCGACCATCGGGCCGTGGGCGACGGACTTGTCGCGGCTTGGACTGTAACGTAGTGGGGCTCGCAGACGGTCTGCTATGTTCTATTGATCGAGGGGTTCGAAACTTGCCAGGAATTGAGGATTCGCCTTCTCGGCCGGGTCCGTAGCTTTGCCCATCTGGTCCCGATCGTGCCGTGCAAGAAGTACGGCCCCCCGCCTGGAACGGACAGGCGGACAGTGCTAGTGGCCTTGACCAGTCCAGAAGGCTGTCGGCAAGCGCATGTAGTTTTCCGCTAATGTTTCTCTGGCCTGGCGCATGCTTTCTCGTTTCGGCAAAAGACTCACCATCAGCAACAACCTTCACCTACGGGCAAGTACTTTTCAGCATAAACCCGTGCTGGTTGCTTGACCAAGTGCAAGCTTGTGGAACAGCCAACCTTTGCCGATAGGCAGTAGCTCTACAGCATGAGCAGCGTCCACAGTCTATCGGCCGACGGGTGCTCCGACCAGTCCAGCATGCCCCTCGTGACCGCGTCGTCGTACTCCATGGCCTCGGAGAGGTTCCTCATGGACCTTGTAGAGGGCCTGCTTCTAGATCCCCTCTTGTGTTTCCGGCCCGGAGAATACGTTTTCCGTCTAGTGACTGCTGCGCCATCGCCGGTGCGAAGGTAGGTTCCCCCCTCCCCGCAGAGAGTGGAACAGGGCTGGCTCCCACGGATTGGTGAGGGTCGCGAGAGGGCGGTAGCCCGGAGACGCGCGGGTAGATGCCCATGAAGATGCTGCCACGGGACTGCGCGCAGACCGAGGCGTGTATGAGGCGGTTCCTGAAGCAATCAATGGAGGGGCTTCTTGGCTACATGTCATGAGCCAGGGGCGAATGCTTCCGTGAGTCAGCGATTATGGCCGTGTTCTCGTTGAGACCTCGGCGAGTCATGGTCGAGCTGATCCGGCACGAAGAATTGGTGAAGTTGGGCCTGCCCACTTTCAACTGGCCGGATCTGCCCGTGAAGAGGAGGGGGATCTACGATGAGAACGCCATCGTGAGAGGTGATACGAGAAGCCTCTCGAGGTGATGAAGCTCGAACTTACGTGGACCGGCTTGGGCTCCAGAGCCAGGCCGAGCGGATGTGGGGAGACCAGATACGGGCCGCTCCCAGGAAACGAGATGAGCGACGACACATAGATCGAGGGGAAAGGAAGGGGGCATGCACATGTGTATTGCCCGCGGTGGGCGTGATCGCCGTCGATCTTGCCCACCACGGCTGCGTGCCCCGAACGATTGCCCGGGGTGACAGCCCGAGGCGGGCATCGGGTAGTTGGCCGACGGCCTCGGAACTTTGGAGCACGAGGATCTGCTATTCTCTGGGCTGACCCTCAGACGGACGAGGCAGCAACTCGCTCGCCGTCCCGCGCACGGCTGCTCGTCCTGATCCCGGAGAGCAGCTTGGCCGACGAGGACCTGCCGACGGACCTCCATCGGCAGGCCGGCCGGAGACATGCCAAAGGGAACGAAATGTTGCAGGCAAGGGCAATAAGACACTTGGGAAGCCATAATCACCGGCTATATTCAATAAGTGTGAGACGAAGGAAAATTATACAGTATTGAAATAAACAAATATTCCACAACCCGGCATTGGGCCTTCACCCACGAGGTGGTTCCTGTTTTCGTTCACACCGCGGGACAGGCTTCCCAGGGTGGTCGTTAGATTTATATACGTAATTGTTGCGCCCAGATCCGCATCTCCATGTCGATGCACGATAACTCCACAGAACACTGGCCGATCCTCCGTTTATGGATCATGCATTGAGCAAAGTCAATCGGTGCGCAGGGTATAAAGGTGTGTCGTCCAACGCCATGCCATGTCGAGAAAGATGCTTCATGGTTTGTTTGTACAGCGGGTGCCCATCTGTACATTTCGAAATGTATTGTCCGAGCATTTGGGACATTTGAAAGGGTTGCATGGGTATACATGCTTAGTTGTTGCGCTCCTTCTCACGCAGGCCGCCGATCGAGTCCATGTCGACAGAGTAGAACTGCGACTTGCTGTCCTTCTCGTAGGCGGGTAGCTCCTCATCGCGGACGGGCTCGAGGCCGACGGAGCCGCCGTCACCGACGCGAACGACCAGCACGCGGCCACTCTTGGGGCGACCGCCCTCGTCCTGCTCGTCGGGGAAGGTGATGTGGATCTCGGGGACGTTGTCGGGGGAGTGGGGGGCAGACTGGGGGTTCTGGAGCATCGGCGAGCGTCCGTCATGGCCGATGTACAGGACGCTTGAGCGGCCGTCCTGGCTTGTCTGGATGGTGAGGTTGTGGTGGTTGCGGGGGACGCCCTTCACCTCTTGGTAGGTGGGAAGAGCGTCTTGCCGTTGTTGTCTGCGCATGCGGCGCATGAGGAAGAGTGTGGAGACTAGGAGGAGGGCGAAGAAGACCAACGCCAGGACGACGATCATGAGGTTAAGCGTGACGCCGTTGTCGTCGCTACGGCGGACGACGCCCGAGGCGCTTCGGGAAACGAGGTGCTGGATAGAAGGCATTGCGAATCGAATCGTTGGTGGAAATGGCCCTGATTACTACTGCTGAATGTACCTCGTTTGGTTCGAGAGTAGGTCGTCCTAGTTCGGCGGGAGGGAGCGGTATTCAGTGCAATTATGATTTATGAGAAGACGACTGTGACGGCCAGTTAGCATCGCGAAAGGGGCTTGCTGTGCGAGATTCCGACGTCTGCGAAGACAATCCGGAACACTGGCAGGTGAAGATTGGGGAAAAGGGACCCTGTTCCGGATCTCCCTTTTCCCACCCCGGCCAGCGCAGCAGATGTCCTCGTGGGATCGGACAGGGGCGGAGCAGAACGGACGTACGCAAGGGATTAAGTCTTCTGTCTGCAGGGCCGTGGCGAAAAGTGGTGAAGAACGCACTTGTTTCTGGCTGTCCGTGTGTATTTTTGGGCTTCGGTGTTTGGGTGGGGCAGAGACGTAGGTAGTAGCGAGTGGGATTAACGAAAGGACGGAAAACGCAGCCGAGTGAATGTAGGCCGGAATTCCAAAGGGGGACGGAGGGCGATATTAGAGAATGACTGTGAAAATGGTAAGTAACCAAAGGTAAAGAGCGAGTGACAACACACGATCCTGCCAACGTACAGCAAGGACGACGGCGATTGAACAAAGTTGTTGAAGAAGAAGGGGGGGAAGAGGAGGAGAAGAAGTCGGGACGGGGAGGAGGAAGGATATGTCGTGGAAATGAATGAGCAGGGATGTTTTTTTGGCAGGCTTGCAAGCCCTCTTGGGACTGGGCGGTGGCCGCCTCCACGCCTCCACGCCTCCCAGGCACAGAGCCAGTGGGAATTGGACGCTTCGGAGTAAGTAGCTCGCGCGATGGAACCTTTCCGTTCTCGGCTTTACTGCATCATCCAAGGATAAGGCGGACGTCACAGTACAGTACAAGCACAACGCGGCACACAGCACATGGCGAGGTGGGCGACACGCCGGTTCGTGATCGCAGATTGGGTTCTCCCTAGGCGCTCCGTCTCCCCTCCCCCCCCCCCCCGACAACGTCACATTGTTGACATGGGGCCTGGCCAGCACGGGAAGAAAAAAGGGGGGGGGGGGGGGGGCTGCATTGGTTCTGGCCCTGTATCCATTGGTACCGCCCGCCGATAGCAGAAGCTCCAAGAAGAGGAGATGAGGTATCGGAGGACAGCCCTCCAAAAGGAACCACTGTATCCGTACTTCGTACGTACAGGTAGTATTCATACGCGCCCTCCATGGGATAGCCCCATCTTCTGTTGGCGAGGTGGAACCTGGACCTGGACAGATGTCCATTCTGGCGAGCACAGCCCACGGAGTGATTTGGACTGAATTCGGTATGGTACCAAGCAACGCTCCAGATTGACAGGCGTGGGCGATTCGTCGACGGCCAGCTGCAATTTCCCCCCATTGACCAATGGTCGTGGATTATTCCTGACATAGGTGGGACTCTACCGGGTGCCTCCATGAAACGGGGCGGATTATTGGGCGGCCGTTGGTGGTTTGTGAACTAAGCTCATTGACCCCCCTGCAAGGGGGCTCTTGGTCCGTGAGCTCGTGAGCCAAGCCGAGAGCGAGCCCCTGGCTCCTGCCTGCCTGCTCCTTCCTGTTCCTGTATCCTGCACTACCCCCCCCATCCCCCATCTTACTATCTACCTACTACGTACTTACTCAGTACTGCACCAATACGGATACAGTGACATGTAATAAGTCTGGCTCACCACACAATGTGCCACCTTGATTAGGTGAGCCCAGACTTATTACATGTCACTGTGTGTACTTGGCTCCTTTGCTCTGCTAGGTGTTGCCTTGTCTTTCCACTGGATCGCACCGATGAGAAGCTGGGGCTCCCCTCTTCTTGTGCAATCTGGACTCGCAAATCAGCATCCACCGCGGGCCCTTGATTGGCGGGGACTACCTAGGTATGGATGTAGGTACTCCGTACTATTAGTTTACAACGAAGACGCTTTAGCGTTGTGATGACATCCATTTCGGGAACCAATGTGTCCCCGCCCGTCAGCAATAATTCTCAGGCTGCGTGGCGACAAACTATCGGCGGCATGAACAACAAATTCAATGCAGCGTCCAACGGCTAACGGGGGTGGCTTTGAGATTGAGCTCTCCCACCGTCCCCCACCGTCCCCTCCTATCGCCTCCCGCCTCCGCCCACTCCATGGACCGACTCGACTGACTGTCTCCGACCTCAACCTCGTCCTCGTCCTCGACCTCGCCCGGTTCTGCCGGTGACCGTTCAACTCCCCGCCCGTCGTCGATTGACAAGACCCAACGTGTCCATGTCCCGTCCCGATTTGCGTTTGCCCTCCCAATGAGACACCCACGAACACATCATTCAACAATGTCAGATCACGCTTGCTAACTCCGACTCCATTCTAGAAGCACCACATGCAATTCCCTGCTCTCTCCCATCTCTTTCCATCTCTCGACGCTAGAAATAGCCACATTAGAGTCGAGGCTTGTGGAGCACGGTCCACCCTGTCGACTCCAGCGTTACTCTACGCCACGAGATTGCGGCCAGCTCGCAGATGGGCTCTTTCAACGTTTTTCCGCCGCCCTACCTAGTCGAGCCAGAGCTTTCCCTTCCGGCTCCCACATCCGGGCTCCTCTTGTCGCAGGTCTTCCCTTTTAGGTACACCTAGGAGATTCCCTCGAATTGCCAATGCCCCTTGGAGACAAAACGAGAGAGCTGCTCATCTCGGTTGTTATGAGCCACGTTGCGCTGTGCAAGGCAGCGACCACCTCTTATCCCTCAACCCATGCCGACCCATGCCCAATGCAACATTGCCGGCTTGTCACCGAACACCGAACCCGTGCTCGGCCCTGCTCTGTGGCTTACGCCTCCTCTCTGGGCTCCCGAGGCGTGGCGTCAGCTCGCCCGATTCACAAGACGCCACAGCAGGCGGGCTGACGCCCTTCCCTCAAGCCCAGATCAGATCGCCCGCCGTTGCTAAATAGCACATCATCCGCAGAGTCATTTGCGACTACTCGTGCTCACTCCATGGACCCGTGTTGCCCAGCTATTCACCTACCAGCCCACCGCATCAAACGTGGTCGCTTTCCCGCACCGACGGCAGAGACAGGGAAAGCACCCGGTCTAGCTCTGTTATCAGGCCCAACGGCATGCTCATATCGGCATCACCTTTGCCCTCTCCAAACCGTCGCTCAGAGATTCGACAACGCCGACGCCAATCGTGGCCCTCGGAGAGTAATGCTGTACCTTCGGAGTGGTTTGAGATGGCTCCTGCCTAGAGCAGCTCCTCGGTCGCTATTCTGCCCATCAGCTTTGGCTCGCGAAAACGAGGTAGCCCGTGATGCCGCAACGAGTGCGAGACAGCTTCAGGGACACGGCGAAACCACGGTATAGGCGGGCATGGTACAACTTGACGCAGGACTCTACGAGACGCCAGCATGCTTCGACTCGACCCCAGCGAACAGACACCACAGCTAAGTATGCGGTTGAACATACGGCCGCGAAGCTTTGCTCATCAACCATCGGAACCCGGAACGGAGATCCGACTAGCTTGCGACTATAGCCCTGCTCTGACAGCCTCCGAGACACCAGGTGGTGGCAGTGCCTGTCGGCGACATAGCGCGGTATGCTCTCGACCTCTGACTTACGAAGCACCAGTGCTTGCTTGAGTTACCCCGGATGCAGCTACCCGCTGCGATACATCGAAAACCTCGTCGTTGGCACTTGAGCAAATCGTGTCGGACTCGTCTTCCAGACTAACCATAGACGAGGTGGTGTGGCACTTTTTTCGGCGGTGCTTCGAGTGAAACTACGTTTGAAAGATGCCTGAGATAATACCACTCGATTCACGGCGCTTAGGAGCAGCAGCCACGTATGGATATTTGGCGGGAAATATTGATGTCACACAGCGACGAGCGACTGCAAGATGGGACTGCCGGCCGACCTAAGGATGTCTCGGCCTGACTTGCTGGCAATGCCCACTGTTGACATGCAAGCCCAGTCGGCTCACGTTAAAAAGCAAACATAAGGCGGTCAGCGACGTGGCTGATCACCGAGACCGTTTGTAACCAGCGAATGATTTCGGTTTCCCTCAGCAGCAGACGAGACCTTTGTGAAAACCCTGACGCTTCCTTCTACACGGACAGACGCGTCCTCGACAACTCACGCTGCACGTCCCGGAGTCTGCCCTTGACAGCACAGCTCTCTACGTTCATAATGGTTAGCATGAGGAGTTAAACAACTTCGATTCGTAATGGCCAGGCAGCGACTGTCCCGGGCGATTGTGCATTGTACGAGTGACCGATTTTCAGGCAGGTCATAACGGACGTGTCTCGGTTTGCTTTTCCTCCAGGCCTCTACGAACCAACTCGCGACGCCAGTCGACGCCAGTGACACCAGGCCCAAGAGCTCGGCGGGCATACCATGGATCCTTGCGGCCGCATCTTCAGCAGTAGGATCAGCCTAGCTTCAAGTGCCATATGTGGAAGCAGAGGGCTGCCCGAGCAACAGGTGCAGATGTTGCCCCCCACCCAAGAAGAAGAAAGCGAGAGCATCTCTCATGGGCAATATCTCAATGAAAGCCTCGCGAGCTGGCGTATGGCCTAGCAACAGAACAACGCAGCCTAAAGCAATTTCATGTCCTCATGCAACATTGCACAAATGCCAGTTTACCATGATGCCATAGTAAGGCCGGACGACGACGGCTCTGATGTTGTCGCCGTAGTTTTGCCACCCCTTCTTTTACTGCCTCTTAACCCTTCGTTCCCCCCCCCGTTTGCCTTTCAATTGTCTTTTTTCTTCTTCTTTTCTTTTTATTTTTTCTTTCTTCCTTTTTTTCTTTTTCTTCTCTCTCTTCTCCCTTCTTCCTCATTTATAGCTGCTTCAAGTGCTGGCATCCAATGAGCTGCTCTCCCGAAGCATCAAGGCAACAAAAAGTTTGACGGACCAGGCCGCCAGGAGTGAACAAACACGGGTAGCCCCTTGAACCGGCAGAGTTGAAACACTGAAACAACGACGTCCTCAC